CCTGATGTCGGTCTCAAATGGATAGACCAGATGCCAGTGCCAGTGATGAAGATTGATCCCAATATCTTCCCTCCAGTAAGCTACGCGATGTTCCTCGTCAAGATCCGACGCAGTATAATCCCGTGGAATTTCAATAGGCACCTTTGAATCGCAAGGATAACGAAGAGAAGATAAAACGACTTATGCGTTGAAAATTAATATAAAGCTGTACTCGTTAGATCGACCTATTATATCTTCCATTATGGTATTATAACAATTTGTACACTATAATTTTTCGGTTAAGAGGCGATTATTGCTGTACGAGAATGCTTAAAATTGTTGGGATATTGTACAAGTTCAATAACGTGATCTGAATTGTGTAAATTTCGGAAAAATGCGCGATCTAGGAGCTAAATACATTATATTAGTTTTGTACTTTTGGATTGTACGTGAAACGATCGTACTTATATATTCTTCGAAACTTAAAGGTGAAAATTATCGTTAAAACAGAAAAGCTTTCCACGTTTACTTAATTTATATTGTCATCATTTGTCTTGCATTCAAAGAATAAGCCAGCTAATTAAACTGCACAATTGAGTAACGAGCCTGTTGGTAATTAATGCGTTAGAGAACAAGTACCCTGGAGCCAGCCGGTACAACATTGGCTTCCTCCCTCGCTCTGGCAAATATCCCGCTGTCGACGTACTTGTCTGGGAAAATTTCCGATAGCGGTGGTATCGGTAGATCTTTCGTGTCGGGACGGTGCAGAATCGCCACCGAGAGCGCGTAGACGAACATCTCGGGATTAACGCGATCGCGACAGTAAACCGACACCGAAAGAAAATCATCATACGTTCGCATACCTATAACATATATACGTATTAATAAATAATTAGCAAGACTTGTTGAAATCAAGTTTGCATGAACGTAACAGCGTATTTTTGTAACGATACATATAATTCGTTCAAATTTAATTAATGAACATTTAATTACGACACACTTTTACTTTTTACAAAAAAGAAGTTTAATGCAAAAGAAAAAGGTCACACATATAATTCGGTCAAGATAGGTTTTGGTATTATAAATATTATTTTATAACACGATGATATAAAAATATTAATTTCGATTAATACTTTTATGCAAATTTTTACAATTTATAATTCAAGCAAACTGCGAGCAGATTTTCTTTTTTAGGTCTTGAAATACAGTTTTGAAACATTTAATGAAACGTTTATTTACTTGACAAATACATACATCTACTTTTAAATTGGATCACAAACAAAAGCGAAATTTATATATAATTTTGCAAGTAAAGTAAATAGAACGAAATATAAATAAAGTCTTGAAACAAACCCAAGAAGATGTCGATAAGTCGCGCGGCTAATTTTCGATGCTTAGGAATGAAAAGAGAGAAAGGTTCTCGACGTCCAAGTTGAAGGGGGACACTCAAGTCAGGCAGACTGATTTGCTTCACTGGAACCTTCGACGCGGTATCATCGGCGAAACGATTCACAATGGCAGGAGCCATCTGTTGCCGAGACTCAGGCTGTAATGCGTTTTAAAAAAAGCGAATTTTATATACAAAAATTTGTATATTCAGTAACATTAATGAAGAAATATTTTTCTTCGTTCGAAGCGCTCTTTTCACTATTATAGACTTTTGCGCAAAAATATAAACAAACTTTGTGTAGCAAATTATTTTTAAGAATTTTTATATTCGAAAAATAAGAAGGGAATGTACTTAGAATCTGAGAAAGTCTTTTACTTCGTGAAACTATTAAAAATCTTACATTTCTCGAACGTATAGTGCATTACAATGTAAGGCTTAATCTTAGATGCGACTGAGAGATTTCAAGTCCTAGGAATTGCAGAACAGCATCAAACTGATGTAGTGGAATTCAATATTGATACGCAATAAGACCGTCAAGGATCAAGCTTACCAAGTAGTTAGCTGGTACATCAAAAGCGACTTTGTTCTCTCCCTTGGGTACGTATACCGGCTCCGCCGGTCGATCGAACAGATATAGAATATCCGATTTCTTGTTTGCCATTTTGACGATCAACAAGTAAGTGCACTATCTTGACAAGCTCGACAATCACGCGACTGTACGTCTCAGAAATCGAAATCGAAACCACTATAATAGAAACTAATGGAAACAAGAGTAAGGATCACGACGTTGCTTCTAAGACAACGTGTGAGTCTTTATGTTGCGGAGTACTTTGGTACCGGTATTTATAGAAGAATCATGGAGGATACGGCGGTTCATTGATGATAAACGATGGCTGTCTTCGAGCGACCGCAGGATCCGTTCGTGAAATACAGGACAGTTAATTCATACGCAAGCAGGAAGGATAAGCGACGAAAACACAGAGCGCTTAAACCAGATCCTGTGTTTACAGGTTTTCCTGTTTTTGAAGGAAATCGGTAACGATTAACCAGCAGCAATCGCGCGAAACCGCAAATAAGTCATGTTATTTCATTGATAGTTAATAGCACTTCATTATCTCATTGATAGTTAATAGTAATATATATATACATATACAGGGTATCCGAAATTTAAATGTCAAAACTTTGAGGGTGTTTAAGAGATCGATAAACTAAGAAAAAAGGTTCTGAAGAAAACTCGCTTTTGCTTCGTTTTAGAAAAAAATCACCAAAAAGGTAAAACGTAGGTGCTTCGTTCTTGGACGTGAAAGAGTAGCGTCTTAACCACCCCGATCACGTGATCTGACTTCCACCACTTCACACCACTGGACTTCTTTGTGTAGAGGGTCCTAAAGCAGGCAGATTATTAATTGACAACCAATTCAAGAGAACAATTGAGAAATCGAATCGAAGTTGCAGTGCACTAAATATAATCACCATATCTGTGTTTGGCTGCAATAACACGCTGTCCGTACGGATGATACGCTTGCATTTTGGCGAGAGACCAACGTAAATGAATAAATACAACATGAATAAGTAATAAAAACGTACAAAAGCAAAAACTACGTTTTATCTTTTTTACAATTTTCTCCAAAACGAAGCAAAAACGAGCATATCTCTACAAGACTCTTTTTCTTCGTTTATCGATCTTCTACACGCTCTCAGAGTTTCGACATTTAAATTCTGGAACCTGTATGTAACAATATTAAAAAATTTTATATGTTATATGTAATAATAATAATAATAATAATTGTGTTACATATATTATTGCGCATAAGATATAAAATTTTAACGCATGCGTTTAACGTATTTAAACGCATTCCGGATTAGTAATATATGTCAATATAACATAACATTTATATTGAAGTTTGACATCAATCGCAGCAGGCTAATTATTTATATATTGGCATTAACCATTATTACTTATGTATGACACAATGCGAATAATCTGACGTATGGGCGATTTGGCGATTATGACATTCAATGACATGCAACTGTTCAATGTAGCATAATTTAATTTGTTTACATAATGAATGAATTGCTAGCGTTAACCGAATCACTTCCCCCAATCGGTCTCTACATATTTGCGGTAATAATACAGATGTCTCCCGTTACTCTCCATTCTCTATATCTGTATTTAATGTTAAGAGTCAAAAGAATGAATACATTTTTTTGTGAAAAAGAAATATTCGAATCGTGAAAAGGAATCATAGGAAAAAAGAGAAATTTCGTTTTCAATTCAATTCGTAATCCAGATGTGTGCAAGTGCTCTTTATTGACTGTGCTTTTACATTTCTGTTCATTTCAATTCAAAAGTCTCTCTACTCTTTCGTCACGCCGATATGTTTCTCATGAAGAGAAATAATGATATCCCACGCACTTACAGCCGCAAATAGATACTAAAAACTAAAATGAAATTGTATCGGAAATTTTATTATATCAAACGATATGTATATAATCGGTTAGGTAATATATATACTTAGGGACATAAAAAATTATTTTTACACATACAGGGTATCGCAAAGAGAATGAACATTATTACGAGACTATATAAATACTGGAATATAAATTGAAAATACATCGTTTTTATGTCGGAATGTTTCTGATGAGATATAAATAAATGACAATTTTGAGACACCCTGTATGTAATATAGAACATTTTACATTCATATAATATGCGGAATAGGAAATAATTAAAGAAAACTATGTACGAGGCGCATATCTCTGATCTTAAAAATTTTTTATCTTATGGAAGATATTATGATAGTCACGTTATTAATAAAATACAATTATTTATGATTATAATAATGATAAAATCCTTTTTATCCGCTCGCTACGAATATATATATTTTACATCTATCTGACAAACGCGTACAATGCAATATTAGATTGAATAAAATCAAAAGGCAAGGAAAATATAGAGAGGAAAATAGTAAATTTACGCAACCATGTATATTATCAACACTCGTTCCGTTTGTGGCATTCTTATCTCCCAAACATTACATACAACAAATTTATTAAATTCACAATCAGCGTAAATTATAATTCTATTATGTATATATGTATACATATATATATATTATATACACACACATATATATATGTATATATATTAACGTCGCTGATATTGATTATTTTGCGAGATAGATTCCCTCCAAAGGGAATAAGATATTCACTCTTCTCCCGATGGACGTTTCGCAAGCTTGCGCTAATGATAAAATCGATATGATAATTATCGGGATAATCTAGGCAATGGGTCCGTACGATTGCTATGTCTAGCAAAGTAGAAAGGAAAAAGAGGAACAAAAAAGTAGAATAGATTTTATTCCATGTTCTTTCTGTGTAATTTCAACCCTCCTAGAAAACTTAACGTAGAAAAAGTTTCGAAGTCCAAAAGTAACATAAATAAAGAATAGCAATTAACGTAAACGACGGTAAAAGGAAATTAAATATAAACGATAGCGAAACTGCTGTAGTAAAAATACATTAAATATATAGGATATAATACATAAAGTCTGTATATACATTTTAAGAATAGACTCTTTGATTAATTTGTAGCTAATTTTTCCTCAGCGAAAATTTAATTGCACGCCGTCTTTCTAATTCTTAAAATTAAATGCCTTAGTGTAATGAAATAGTTTCAAATTTAAATCCTATTAAAGTGCACTCAAACTTAAATAACAAGTAAGCTTTTTCTGTATTTACCTAATATACCTGTAGCTTTGAAGCTTAATTTGCGAAGTGGTGATCGACCTTCAATTAGTTCTAATGTTAAATTTTTTGCCTCCATATTTTTGCTGCGAACAAAAATCGGCTTTTCGATTAAGTTAAAATTGTGTTTCTCAAAGAATCTGATCTTGAAGTGTTTTCAACATCTCACGATATATCCTGTATAACAATAGATAGAGAAAGGAGGGAGAAGGAGAAAGGGGTTCTAACACCGATGACACTCACAAGAGCTGTCGGAGAACGTAGATCTCCGGAGAAAACGTTCACCGTCCCGCGACGGCGACGTCGCGCCTTCTTCTTCTGCTCCTCTTCCGTCGTCTGCCTCTTCTTCGCCTTCTCATGACTCTATCATTGCTGACGACGGCGTTGCTGTTCGCTCCTCTGCGACGTCGGCGTCGGAACCATTGAATGGCGTACGGGGTCGATTTTCGGATGCAACGCCAATCGTGACAATCTACCAGCTTCGAATCGCCGTACCATCTTCCGTGGCAGACCGAATTGGTCGATTGGCCGTACCGATTGCTGCTATCAGCAATATTGGTCGACAGCTTCCACTTGTTCACGCCCACGTATTTGTCCAGGCTCTCGTTACCAGGACGCTCCACGCAAATCGACAAACCTGTGGTGATTTTAATCGCTCACCGTTTTTATTTTCAATCAACGACATGTAATTTTAATTATACACTTAACGTTACATATGTATACTTAATTATATTTGTATAAGATTATTCTAACGAGAAAGGTTTTAAAATTAAATATTCTCTAATTATATGTTTATTTGGCGCAATTAAATACTCTTCTATTAATATATATAATTAATATTTTCTAAATGAATGTAACAGCAATGTAATTTGGAAAAAAGACAATTGATTTCTCTTATATTAATTATAATAACTATAATAAGAGAAGCAAAATGGGGGATAAATGAAAAGGCACGCCTGCACAAAGGTGAGGAAAACAAGATAGGTAATTTAACAGCGACGTAGAGATAATAAGTAAGCCGTCATCAAAATAGCTTGCTTTCGTTCGCAGATTTCCGCGTTCCGTGGCTTATCTACTTTAGATATGGTGCCGGTAGGAAACAACCGTTATCTTCACCACTGCATCCACTACATCCGGTCGATTCCTTCGTGATAACAACCGTCTTAAAGCAGTGTCGCGGGAGCTACGCTCTAATTTACATGACGTTACGTCGCATAACCGTGGTATACGTTAATTGAGACTAGATCGAGTCGCTTCATTTCCGCGTTAGCGACACGATTCATCGTTACGCGAATTTCGTATTCAGAATTTGAGGAGTTTAGATTTCGTTAAAAGAGCACCATCTTATCACACGGTTTTAAGTAAATAATCCCATTCCTTCAGTTTCTTTTGATTTTTCAAAATCAATGCGCAATTAATGACAATCGTATGTGTATAAGATTAACAAAACGGGCGTTACTTTTTACGTCGTTAAATTATAATACATAAGAAAAATATTCAACAGTTATGGAAATAGTTGTAAGCATAATTATTACATACGTTTCAGTAAACATTTGTATCGTTATCTTGGTCGCATGTGAAAAGATTTCAAACAATGTTTCTTAAAAGAGTCGAATGGCATTTTTAATAACGTACATATTTATATTGGCGTAAGAATGCACGATTTCTCGAGTTTTGTATTTCACGCAATATATAAATGAGAATATCAAGAAAGTTTAAATTAATACTGCGAGTTTTTTGAAACTCGCCGAGCACGCGGACTAAGGAATCTTATGCTTTTATCATGTCAGACGACTAAGAGAGAAGACTTTCGCGGAGCGATAATTTTTCGCTCGAAGCGTAATCCCGAGTTTTACATACCGCCGCGGAGATGCGAAACGTTTTTCGCAAGAAGACAAGTCTATTGTCTCTTCGAAGCATTATGGTTACAAAAAGCTTGAACGCGCGGGGCGAGGACTTAACCGCGAAAAAGAATGGCCGGTATGCGGAGCATCCGCTGTTGTTTTTCCTCTTCGTTGCAATATATACTCTGTTTTTATAAGCTCCGTAGTGTTTTACTCGTAAGCATCTTATTCATCCTTAATATGAAAACGTGGTTCAAAGTTTCTGATTTACTCTAACATTTTAAGAAACAAATTATGAAAAATTGTTCAATGTTAAAAAAGACAATTTAAATTCAAATAACGAGATATATCTTACTTTACAATTAAATATAAATATGTTTTATATGAGTTTATACAAAAACCTGAAAATGTATAGAGAACCGAAAAAGTATTTAATCGAATGATAAATTCTGATTTAGTTCAATATTCATAGACGTACGTATTACTTATGGTACATTTAAAACAGTCTCAAGTATAATCTTAAGATGTCAAAACTCAATCACAGGTCGGTATTCATAGTCGGTTCTTATTTCAAGACTGTCTTAAGTAATGTCTTAAGATGCTAAAGCGGCCCTCTGATTGGGTCGTAATTCCTCAAGACTGAACTTAAGACGGTCTTGAATATAAGAACTGACTATGACTACAGGCCACAGAGCCATATTAATACCTTAACATATTACTTAAAAATAGTCTATAAATACCGGCCTTAATCTTCAAAGAAAGGAACTAATTTTAACCATTTTAAAAGTCTCTCTAGAATCAAGAGGAAGAGGAAGGTTGCGATATCCGATATTTATTCTGCATTCGTATTTGGATCTTCGGCCTCAATAATAAAAATAACGTCCTACTGTAAGTAAAACTCCTATTTCTAGTTAATATTAGGCTCGGCTATTATTATTATTAGACACTTATATACAAACCTTGCGAGAGCAATTCCAAAAACTTGCCACAACCCCGTGAGCTCCATGTAATGGTGAAAGGGATACAGCTGCCTCTGAAACGTGTGTAATATCGGTTTTTATATTAAATATCGCAAAGCCCAGAACAAAACGTGTACGTTCCCCGGTATGTTTTCTCGTTAGCCACCGCACCGCACGCTATACTACGGAACCCAAAGGGCTCCATCGCTCGCTGGCGGCTTGTATAGTTTGCTTTACCCGCTCGACATAACGTCACAGGGGAATCTCGATACTGCGACGCGATGTTTGCTACGTGTTTTGTAACAGGTCGGAGCACGTGTCAAATTAGATACTTGACACATCGGCGATTCTGTCTTGGTTACAGAGCGGCTCGGGATTAAAAATGTATCCCGCGGGAGGTATCCCTCGTCAAGCAGAGAAGGCTTTTAATGGAATTGCATCGTGATGCTTGATCGCGCGAAAGGGTAATGAACTTTGAAAATTAAGGTCGTCAACTTATTAGTTACGCACGAACGCTTCACACTATTAATAATGCATACAAAATGCGATTGAAAATTATTAATTGTGTCATTTGGTGGTGCATATACGGCATAAAAAGGATAAGTGCGTTACGCGCGTTAAAAACACCGTATTTTGCAACGAGTTATATAGAGCTCTATCGCATAGCCTCATTCGTTCAATCAAGTATTTATCTAGTTATTATATGTATAATTAAGTCGAAGGACTTTTAAAAAATTCCTACACTGATAAACGACAAGTTTTAATAATGTTCATTACGGAAAAGAAATTTAATATTAAAAGTACTAACGTTTCTTAATCATTAAAAAGACCAAAGGAATGAATAATAACGTCTGATGTTTTGGTGATTTATATAAATGAAAGAATAATAAAAAGAATTAACATTTTATTAATGTGAACATAATTATTGAAAAAGAGTCGAAAAGTTTCAGAATCTTATCTTTTGCAAAAAATCTAATATTAATAAAAGATATAGAAATAGTCGATGTAATGACCTTGATTTATACTAATAAGCAATTTTGTATTTTAATTTTCCCACAAAATTCCACTGTCGTTGTTTCATCTACTTTCGCGCTGGCAATCAGAGAAAACGGAAAAGACATTGTTTCTGCAGCACGAATTGGGAACATGTGTGGCAAATCGCATTTCGCAGGAATCCGAAACACGAGGGTTTGACCTACCTTTTATCGACGATCCTATCCTTGATCCTTACATCCGTACTGTTGCCGTCGCCCGGAAAAATCTCAAGAAGCGTCACACCTGTGGCAAATGAAAGGAAATCGCCTAGGATCGAACAACGGTAGACAGACGTCAAGAATTTCGCATTACGCTACATACAATCGAAGATAATCCGGCTCTTTTCATTCTTTAGAACGGGAAATGCTTGAGAAATGTCAGACCATTTAGTTTTTACAGAAACCAGGAATTCAGAGAAGAAGTAATATTCCTTCTTTCGTTCTCTCAATTGCAATTAATTCAATTTAATCCTCAATTAATCGCACGATTATTATCGTAAAAGTCGTAATAATTATTGCAAGAAAAATTATTGTTCGATTACTTTAGATTGTTTGTGTTTGCTTACGAAATAAGAGTAAAAAAGGTGATCTCGTCCGACTAATTACACTGTGCAAATTCAACGGGTCTAATTAACCTGCAGGAAATCATTATTTGGAGTGTTTTTATAAATTACAGTTATTATAAATTACAGCGGTGTAAAAAAATGTAAAATTTTGCTTTTTACGATATTATTTAACATATTTCTTCTTTTCTAATAATTATTTTTTACGAACTTTTAAATATGCGATTCCATTAAAACAAACAATAGAAAAGCATCATATGGATTAAAATCATAATTATATATATATATATATATTGTTATAAGTTATCATATTTAATGCTTAATACATTTAATATTTCTTTAGTTTCTACTTACTTTTCACAGAAAATTATATGATAGTTAAATCCATATCTATAATATTCTTATATATTAATAAAATAAATATAAGTAATTGAAAAGCAATCAATAGTACACAACGTAGTTGATTTTAATTGATAAGAAAATAGGTGTTCGTTTACATAAAAAAAAAAGATCAAGTTACTATTCTCAAGTTAAAGGTCAATTCTTTAAAAACATTCCAAAAGTAGAATGCGACTTATCTCTTCGAGATCGATCAATGCTTACTTTTAGTATGTGGCTGCGAGCGAATCCCAGCGTGACATTTCTGGAAGCTGCGGCACGTCCTCTCCTGGTCCAAGTGCGGACAGTGCTTTCCACCATTCTTCTCCTCGATCTCGATCACCCGGCTGCGCCTTTGAGTGCCACTTCCGCATCCGTTATCGCAAGGAGTCCACGGGCTCCATTCGCTTACCACGCAGTCGACCACTGTAAGGAGGGAATGAACGCGACATTAAGATCTGGCCATCTGGTCGTTTCTCGCAGACAAACGATAAAATTGTCTCGAAAGTGCCGCGCTGGTAAAATGTGCAATTCATAAATCGATAAACGGGACATTTTCGGTCTCTTATCATTTAGATTTTCCAGGGCGATTCTTAACTGGCAATGTAACAGTATAATATTTTTGAATTAAAAGATGTAACTTTTTATAGAATAAACATTTTAAAGCTATATATAGTATACGAGGCATGTATGTGTGAGTAGAAAAAATCGAGCGTGTTATTTTCCCGATATTTTACGGCGCGCATAAAAGCAGCTCAGAGAAATAGCGATTTACGAACGTCCTTCCAAAACGCATTTCACTATGCGTTATTCACTTCGCTATATCGCCAGAAAACTGGAGAGACAATTTGAGATGAGTAAAAATGCAATAAACGCGCATCGGCAATCACTGATGCTTCTCTCCATTAAGGAGCGCGTAGAATGCAAAGGATGGAAATTCATTTAATATGCTGCTATACTCCATTTTGCACGGGATGCATCAAGAACAAGTATCGCAACATTTAAAAAGTGGAATGACGTCAACGGCGTTAATTAGACACTGTTTTAAATGAAATATCGCGCAGTCATTTGCGTGCCAAATTTTTTTTACAGTTATACGAGAGACGAGCAATTAACTAAGAGGCATCTTGTTTTCTATGGAACTACAGCAGATTCGACGAATACAGTTGATTTTATACCGAGAAAAATTTCTGGTTGAAAATAAACGAACCATAAAATTCTGGCTATATCAATTAGAATTGTAATAAATTTAGCTAGAAAATCTTGATTTGTCCATTTTCAACCAGAATTCTGAGATATTCTCTCCTATAATAGAACGTTATTACGCAAGTTGAAAAGACAATTAGAGAAAATTTATTATTTATATAAACGACACTTTGCTCTTTCACGTGTAAAAAAAGAGGAAAGAGTTTCGCTTTGAAATATAACTGCAAAGTGAATTATCAATACGATGTATAATGAGAATATGAAAATGAAATATCACACGATTGATAAAATTAAACGAAATACTTTGTATAATTTTATATTTGTATTTTATCGCAAATAGCGTATAATTAAATGACGCACGTTACTTTATTAATGTAATTATTGTAATCGCAACGTCTCGTGCACGCCGCACATATTGATGCATTAATATAATCATTAGCATTTTCAATTTTCTCGCTTGTAACATTCTCATTCCTCGTTTTCAAAATCAGTAATAATTTAAAGATTTATTATACGATCGCGGCTGAGCGGACGTTACAAATATGAGGGAAACATTTTATCGGAGGTGGGGGGATCGGCGTTGCAGCCGCGGACTAAAATTCAAGCTGCATTTTGCATTAGGCTATTTCGACGAGCGACGAGAACTGCGCGGTACATAGGCACAGATATAACTACTTGTTTATTGCTTCTTTTACAGTTAGGTACATGGGCGCTTATAGTTGGCGGTTTCCGTCGAACACGATCGCTATACCGGGACCTATGGTCGTCGATCGATTGTACGCTCGAACTAAATTATTTCGCGCGCCCGCCGGTCGGCGACGACGACGGTCCGGTGAATGCGAACGATCGAATGCATACGCGATGTTGGAGATTCAGCCGGAAATATGTAGAAAAAATAATGCACTATCATCGGTGTGCAACGATCAATTTAAGGTGTGTCACGTGTTGTACACGTTCATGTCGCCAAAACTTTATGCGCTCCACGCGCCACGGGAGCGAGAATATTTTATGTGCATTTGACTTTCCGCGCGAGTTACTTTGGGAAGATAAATTCGCAAAAGTTTACTGTCGAAGTATCATTAACCATAGTAAAACACTTAGTGATTATTTTTCGTTTCTCCACAGCACACCCTCCCCTTTTCTCTCCGAGGTTATTACAACTAAAATGTTCCACGCCGCTTTCGTAGAATAATAAGTTCAGTATCATCTTGTCTTGACGCGTTAAAAATGATAAAGAAGCCGACGTTGTAAATTCGCGTCGAGAACAGGACACGCAGATATATTTCTTTCACGTAAGTGTGCAAATCTTTATACGTTTCATTGGGCGTATGGATGAATTGGCCGGAACGTATATCGGCTGAAATAAGTATAACGTTTCTCGCGTAATTCCGTCACGGTCCCGTTAGAAAATATGTAAATTCACGTCTCGTTTGAAGCCTATACGACGAGAATAGGATTATCTTGCTTCTAGACGGACGGTTTTGCGTCACTCGTGAAACGATTTCAGCCGCAACAACTGCGCGCGTTACATCTTCAAGTCGAAAGGAGCGGCACTTCTTCTCGGCCGGTAAGCGTGAATAATTGCGTTCCCCGGCGCAGCTTTAGCTTCGAAGAATACCGAATCCCTCGTAGCTTCGCAAATGGCAGAAATTAGGACATTAAAGATGAACATTCCCGACGAAAATGGATGAAAGTGGCAGTCAGACACAATAAAGTCACTCCCATTCTTCGGCGGACGCTCGCTCGCGCGTCTACTTCGAGAGACATTTCGCGCTTTATAATTGACCTGCAGCAAACAATAGGCGCATAAATGGAAATTTTATTGTTGTGTTAGCGTTGTTTAGCGCGCACAGTTTAATCGCACGGCCGTCGATTATCTGGCAATTAAACCAGTAAAACAGGTCTATGTTAAACGAACGGAAATGTGAATTGAATAACATTAATCCCTTTGCTATTAACAGACGCGTCGTTCGGCAAACCATAAAATTCCCAACAGTCGTGCAATGTAAAATGATTCGACGGTCTATTATGCAAATACGGATAAATTTAAAAAATCTCACTTTTATACATATATATGATATTATAAAATATAAACCTTGAGAGTATATCTATTGTTAACAAACGCGCTTTATCATATAGCAGCAATTAAATTAGAATAAAATATTAAATTTGTAAATTAAATTCATTATTCTTTAACTATTGTAGTGTTTAACACAAAGTATTTAAATCAAAGATTGTATTATCGGGAATAACTGGCGATCTCGTTTTTGCACAAAAGTGAAAATTCAGTAATATCATTATCTTCGCATTACGCCATAATTCTGTAAAATACAAGCATGGATATATTCAGTCCATAAATTTTGAAATACATTTACCGAGATATTCTTTACTTTTATGCTTCGTCGCAGCTGATCTCTCAGCTATGCGTTATCATCTTTACTTAGGCAATATAGCCGCAATAATTCTTCAGATCTATGCGCGAAATGGTTCCCTACAAGCTATTTCTTCAAAATTCGAAGTTACACGCACAGGGAATATACATCGGACGTATTTTTTTAATTAAATCATCTAATAATCTAAATTTGTTTTATTCATATCCGCGCGGTTATATATAATTAAAAATTAACGTTTCTGATAGATTATATGTAATTCTGACAGATACATAATTTCTGTGATAATTCAATTTCTTTAATAAAATTTGCTTTCATGTTCTGAAATACATAGATATTCTACATATCGGCATATTAATCGGTGCTTAATGATATTCCTATACATGAAGCGTTTTGATCATCAAGAGTATGTCGATTTCTATCGAATGTAATTGTATTATGTCAGATTGATAATTGCTCGACGTTTGATTAAATTCTCTCACAAAACGCACAGCAACTATGTTGATGTTAGTAAAACGCAGCATCAGGCATCTTTTTGAGCGGTCATGTGTGTGGTTGCTTTGATCGAAAATTGGAAGTGGATATTGGTTTTAAAGGTAGAAAAGAAACGAATCATATATCGTACGCTGTTGATACGTCGATGTAAAGAACGAAAAATGATGGATCCGCTCCCCGATAAAAAGCTTCGCGCACAAAATTCCTCACTAGCAAAATTCATTTCTGATGACGCGATTTTGCTAACGTTAAAAACTTACTAACGGTAAGTTACTTGATGATCTCAGTTCGCCTGCGTTAAAGCAAGTACGTTGCTTAAAAGCAAGTAGGTTACGTTCTTAAGATCCAACGGTAATCCTACAAAATCCATGACGCAGAGTATGCATGTATCATGAGTATGTGTATTTAAGCGCGTGCTTAGCACGAATAAGCAAATACGGACCATCGCGTTGTCTACTAATTAATCAATGCTCCACTGCGCGATTTTTTCCCAAGAATTGATTATTTCTTCCATGTTTCCAAGTTTGATTAATTGATGAATCGAGCATTTTTTATTTCGCAGTTGAATTTTACCTGTTTTTATGGCACATGATTATACTGTAATATTTATTTTGTAATTGCATATGTACTTGTTTGATTCCAATTAGAAGTATCAATTATAATAAATAGTATCAATTCTGAAGCTGCTTTCATAACGTATGATTACCTAAATATTAAATTATCTTCGTAAAATCTTTAATCATTATGTAAGCACGTATATTGTGAAAATAGGTCTATATGTTTCTCATGTTAAGAAGAGCAATGATATTTATTATAAAATTTTCTTACTTGCAATTAATGATTATAAAAAAAAAGTGTATTTTTAATTTATATGATTTCGTACACGTACATACAAAATATTTATAAATAGTTTATTTCTTGCGCAAAGAAAATGCAATGTTTCAATTTAACTCGAAATGGATGCGAATAAATGAAATCAAATTCAAAATCTGGCCGAGTACTCATAAAAAAGAAGAAATAACCAGATACTTTTTTAATCGAGATAAAAAGAGCAGTCGACTGTGCACTTAATCCTTTTCGTTTCTTTTTTACAGACGATTTGAACTGAATTTCCAACTTCATCCATCTTCTTTTCAATATACTACGCGTCGCTACCCCAAACCCTCGCCGTGCGAAATCACCGAGAGCACGTACCACCGCAGGTCTCCTTAAAATCGTCGCAGCAATCGGCGAGCTTGAGACATGCGTGATCGCAGTAGCACGGCTTGTCGCGCGGACTCTCGATAATTGCGTTCGGCGACTCCTTCTGAATGACGCAGCCCGAGTCCCTGCCTTGGCAACAGAGCTTTGCGGAGCCGCAGCTTCCGGCGGCGGTCCCGTCAATGGTCAGGGAAATCAGCGCGGCGACGACGATCAGTCTGGCCAGCCTGGTCGTATCCTTCTTCCACATTCTCCTCGCGACCCTGACGACCTTGCTCTTACCGCCACCGGCCACCACGACGACCTTGGGATGTTGATTCCGCCAACAGAGTCGTGGAAACACCACGCACGTGCCGTAACGACGACGGATTTCACACTCGTGACTTATTACAGCGACTCGTCGCGCGCGCGATTGACCGTCGGCATGTCCATCTACTGGTCCCACCTGATTTTCAAGATATCACCTTCTACTTTGCTAGTCCATTCGAGAGAATAACTCTTCAGTTATAGCGGAGCTCATGCTTGAAACCGCAGTTAATTTAATATCTCCGCATTATCGACATTCATCGACCATTAAATCTGCGAGGACGCACTTTACATTTGTATACAATAAAAGCAATGTTGTTTCGTGCTTTCAAATTTCTCTTAACAGAAATACAAAATAAAATATAGTTGTCTCTCGCACACAATTAGGAATCCTTAATATTTGTTTTACGTATGTTTCCGCAGTTAATTAAAATGTTCTTATACAATAGTATTATTATTTACTCTCGCGTGGATATATCGGAAGAAGCGAAATTAAGGAAAATCTACGTGAGCCACTTTGCGACACGCGTCGGTAGGATCTTTCGCATATCACCGCAACGAGAGCAATTTCTGTCGCCACGCTCATCGACCCTTCGGCGGAGGGTGTCGCGATCCAACTGAGTCGAGTTTCAACCCCCGCGAGCGCGAGAAGAGCGTAACGAGGCGCGCGGTATGTTGCGCCTTCGACGACCCGTCGTCCTTGCTTCTCGTACTCTCGGCGCACCTCCCACGGGAACCGCAGCAGCCGGCACCTGCCTCGCCTCGGCGCATGCCCCGCCTGTTCTCACGGGACGCCACGATTTAGTGCCTGCAGCTTTTAATGGAATTTAAAGGGTAACAATTCGTGCCATGTACCACACTAACGTACACGAGACAGCCGTTGGAACCGTCGGATGTCCTACTCCGGCGTTTCTCCGATAGAAAAACGACTTGTTCTTAGCGATAACATTGTAAGAGATCACTCTCGTCGACGGAACTTACTTTATTTCTAACAACAACGTCAAGTTCGCTATCGGCCGCAATCTTTGGTCGATTACAAAATGACACCCTCTATATGCGGCTTCGACAATATCTGACAATGTGTTGTATTGTTATCGATATTATTGCACAATGTAGAGATTTAAATAAATACTATTGTTGTCGAAAAATGTGAAGGATTAAAAATGAATTTCATTATGTTTACTATTATTCGTTCAGAGAATGTTCCAACATAGAAATGCATATTTAAAAAATCTATACATATCTCTGGTAAAATTCAATTAACAGAAAAAGCATTAAAAGTACATTTGATTGTACTATTGCAATTACAGATATGAATTAAAATATATTTTATCATGTAACATCAGAAAATATATGCAAGAGATGAAAATATTGATTATTCGCTTAAAATATCCGTTTTTTTTTCAATTAATTAATTGTATTTATTTTATTATTTGCTATAAAATTTATTATTTTTTTAACTGACTAAAGCTTTTCTGTAAAAAAAAACTTAAAGATATGTTAAAAAAGGTTAAAATTACTTTAGAAAAAAATGTGATTCGAGAATAAAAAATTGAAACATAAATAACCTTAATAAAATATTACTGAATAACTTTTTCTATAGTAAAAATAATATAAATCGAGGAAAATCTCCGCTATAAAATGAAATTGCTTTTTTATCAACGTTTATTTCTGTTAAGAGAGGAATGTACACACGTCGCTTTCAGAATGCGTTCCATTTCACCATTCACGATGCCTATCATTTTATCCTTGTTGATTGCATATTGAGGGATAAATTATCCTATCTGCGCACAGAATGTGAGATGGAACTTTATATCTTCAGGCCCGATTTTTCATAACTAGAGTTAATTTTTGTTTCTTTTAATCTGATGTTTTTTACGTCTTCTTTACTGGGCTTTTTTATCTATAAAATTATCATGGATATTGGATACAGTCTACTATAAAAAAAAAAAGGTTAAGTTTAACGGTTGGAAAGGGACATTTATTTTTCGGTGCTTTTATCACCGGGATAGCGCGAACGCAGTCCCGACTATCAAAAATTGTACGCCCGAGATATCCACATTAGGGATATTCGCAAGGGTCAGCTCAACCGAAGTGCAATGGAAGAGCCTCGCCCTGGAGGAACCGCCTTCATGATCACGGTAACCTCTGCGCCAGGTAAGTATGCTTTCAGCCGCCACGAGCTTCAATTTATCCCCATCGTGGATGCATTTTAGACACGAGCAACTGAGTCACACCTGCGGAGCCTAGCGGTAAGTTTGTGAGCTATGCCTGCGCTACTTGCGCCACGTAGCGACCGATCGTGTACTTTTCATCTTAGCGACGCGACGGAATGACGTAATCCAACGGCCGCTACGGCCAGGTCGCCCGAGGACAGATCAATCTTCTATCGTCAAAAAGCATTTATTTTTTTTTTAATCTTAATGTGCCAAATTTTTGTATTTTTGTACACACCACGGTTTGCGTGGTCTAAAATTAATAAAAAGTTAATCAATTTATTATCAAGCCTTAGAGGAAAATACATATTTTAGAGAAGAAATAATAATGTATTTTTTTTACAGACAAGAGAACACATACAATGTTTATATTTTTACGATTAATTAGTTCATATTAAATTGACAATTTTAAACTTATACGGGACTCCTGTCAATTTAATGAAACAATTATCATTAATGAGACCGTGGGAGTCAACATAAATCAAGTACAAAATTTATATTAAAAATCTATTGTTTATTAAATTTTCATGGAATGAATGTTAAATCATGATAATTATCAAACTAAAAGTTGCTCAATAGTTTCTTATTCATGACAATACAGTTGTAATGCCGGTTTACGTGACCTGTGTAAAAACCATAATATGTCAATTTTACCAAGATAACACAGAATATTTATAATAAATATCTATTATTATTTATTTTTTTAAATATCACATATTTTATATAAGTTTTACTCGAAAACATTATTAAAATATTAGACTAAATATTATATATACATATGTATAATATTTATGATGGACACACATAGATATAAATATTTTAAATAGATATAAATATTTTTTACATAGATTATAATGTGTTATTAAGTATTTTTTCACAGTATTTATTAATATATACGATAAATATTTTATTTTTATAATAAATATCTATATATGATCTGTGCAATCTAATATCGCAAAAATATTAAAAATAAATCTAATATCGCAAAAATATTAAAAATAAAAATCTTACAGATTTTTGTATATATTCTATAAATATTGCGTACTGTCTGGGTAGTTGGTCAACGTTTCTTACAAAATTCAAGCATTAAAAACTCACCAAACGAAGTACATGCCGCAATGTCTTCAACAGACATGATACTTGTTATGATTATTATTATATAACTATATGATGATATTCCTCGAAAAATTTCGTCTTCAAGAATTCGTTACTGTCATATGTTTAGTATATCAAAACTGTTATACGTCTAACGTTAAAATAAAAAAACGTGATCGAGGAAATATAAAGAGGCACAGCGCGGGCAAATAATATAAACATCGCTTATAAACAATATATACAATATAACAGTCTGTAATTGAGCAAGTAAAGAAATTAAAAATAGTTTTTATGATGTATATTTACTATATATAAAAGAAGTTGAACGTTTCGGATTACGGGTCCTTCTTCAGTGAATATAAAAATATAAAAAGACAAATGAAAATTTTCTAACAATTTATGTTATTCCTGGCATTGCACAATAAAATGTATATCAATAAATTTGAATGTTTGCATTGAAAAATGATTGCAACGAAAGAAGATGATGTACATACTAATAACTTCTGTATTCAGATTCCGTATCATGTAAAAATATGATTCCCTCCATTGTTTAGGCAATTAGTCTGCAATTCTTCATTGTCGAGAGAGCAATTGTTGATAATCGGTGACAGAAATGAAATCTAATAGTAAATAACATAAAACAACGTATATAAAGTATAAGTAATAAACTTATCAATTATTTTTATAAAATTAAACAATATAATAAGATAATAAATTATTAGTCAATTGTAAATAAAAATCAATCTATAAGTGATTAGTTAATTATAAATAAAAAGTCAATCTAAATATTTAAAACAATGTGCAGAAGTATAAGTAATTTAAATTGAAATAAATTGAAACTCAGAAAGAGGCAGAAACTCACTACAGAAACGTCTTACCTGATTGAGCGTGTAAATTCAAATGACAAGATCGGCACGACATAAAACGAGCGAAACAATTAGCAAGGTTAAACGTTTATTTATTGTTGTTAGAAACTAACTGTATGATTTATTTAGACATTTTGTGTGTCCTCTTTTGGGAGTTAATATCTTTTACTTATTCTTTAACATGTAGCATTTCAGAAATTAACTTTTTATTGTAATTTATTTCAACAATCATAATAAAAAAATTAATTTTTTTCCCCAAATTCCATTGTAAATTGCAGTCTCGGATAAAATGCATTAAATTTTTCTAACATATTCTTGGCTGTTTACAAAGGAATAGTCATCACAACATTGTCTACATACATATTTGTAGTAAAAAAATTAAAAAGTTGTATGAGATTCTATTATACCCAGCACTTCCAATTCCTCCATTATGATATATTTGCCACCAGTCTCTCGAAGTTTTATTTGTAAATGCAGTAATCAAACTTCAAGTATGTAGACTATGTAGAGTTTGATATTATGTAATTTTGTACAGAGATTGTAAATAAAAAATTTTTTATATAAAAAAGAAATACGAATGAAATGGAGAACAAAGAATATATGTATAGACCATGGAATAAATAAACCTGAAGAACTCGTTACTGCTTATTATTAATTTGTTATTAATTAGCGATTCACTGATTAAAGTTATACGAATCTCACAAGAAGGTGCATTTATATAATGAGTATCTTTCTGGAAGACGGCATCTAGAATGCCTAATATATATGCGAAAGAAGAGAGTAACGGGTAGACTAAGGTTAAAAAGCCACTCACGCCTTAGAATGCAGTCTGTATTAAGCAATGAAAGTTGGGCACAGATATTGCGAAAGTTTGCCGCGTGTTCTATAATTGCGCGCCATTGCCAAGAGCATAATCTCCTCATCTTCTTCGTCCTCGCTCTCTCCTCATTCTCCACTTGTTTCTTGTTTCTCATTATCCGACTTTAGGCACGTGCTCGGCCCGTGGGTTACGATGAGAAAGGTCGTTCCAATTTTGTATGAATGCATAAAAACTTTTCGATGTTCATTTAACCACTCATCATGATGCTAATAAGCTATATAGCCTTTATGCTTGAAGATTTTTAACGCACACCTACAGAATTATACAACGACTTTCAAGTAAAATAAACGAGAAATCTAACTCTAGTCTTCTCTTTTAACCTTTAGACTGCCGGGATTTGAGATATTAAACCGTCCTTTAAAAGTGGCCAAATTTGTGTCTTGTATCATGTATCAACTATATGTATACAAAGTTCATATCATAGGCCGAGCCGATATATCGGCTTCCCGGCAGGATTAAAGTAAAGAATAAATTTTGGATCATGAAATTTTTAAATAAGTAGATATTAATAAGGGTTTTTAGGGGCGCTGAATTTGATGGTAATTACCCAGAGCCTAACGACGTGGACATATACAGAGTATTTATGTAGCTCCTTTTTTCTTTTTTCCTTTTTTATTTTTTCTATTCTTTCCTTTTTTTTTCTTTTTATTTTTTATGTGGTTGTCTGGATATATGAATCTAAACTTTAGTATATTTGGTAACATACACATATGTTTCTTATAGAAAAAAGCTGACTTTCCTCATGAGCCGATATATCGGCTTTCCGGCAGCCTTAAGGTTAATATACAGCAGGTTGCCAAAATATTAGGGACAGTGCAATTTTTTTGTTATTTTTATGTCAATATTGCCAGGCTTTACATAGAACTTACAAATAAGATAGAATAACCAGAACAGGCATTAAAAATAAAAATATTTCACGGAATTTCATTAAGAGGCAAAATTAAAATTAACAGAAAAATCGCACTGTCCCTAATATTTTGACAACCCACTGTGTATATATATATATATATATATATATATATGTGTATATGTATATACCTATATATGTATGTATGTGTATATATGTAATTTTGTAATATTTAATAAGGAAATAAAATAAATGTCTCTCCAAAAAAAAGATGTATCTATATTTTGATAGCATGCGAGAACTCGGTATATACAATAAAAAAAGATAAGTTGAAGCCACTCGAATTAATGATTCAACCAACTCAATCTCAGAGTTAAATATAGCGAAATAATTGTCGAATTGCGTTAAGAAACATTTTATCATTTATTTAATATTGCATTTATTAAATATGCATTAAATTTAGTTCTACAAAGTATGCATAAAGTTAACAAAACTAATATTGGTAGTAAACAAACGTAATCGTCTCTTCCATTAAAATAATTTTATAAGTACGATGAAATAAATCTGCAATTAAATCAGTATACTGATCAGTATACGCCAACAGTTAGTTCGCCATATTTAACTCTGAGATCGAGTTAGTTAAGACAATTCCAGTTCAATTTTCTGATCTTTTTTTACAATGTATAGATCTTTATCAGTAATATAAAAAAAAAATTACACTTGATTCTACTTTGTATGCAATCATACGAATATGTTCACTCCTTCCGTCTGCAATCTGAATATTTTGTTCGACCCACACTTTTTTACTATTTAATTTATAGACATTTGAGAAATGTAGAAATATTCTGAATATTCTGAATTTCTTGAAAAAATAATATAAAATTCTTATATATATCCCCATTAATATTATAATTCTTTTATGCTATATACTTTGTATCAACATTGTTATAATAGTATCTCCGAACAAATTATAAATCTCTATCGACAAACAAATGAAAAAGGAGCAATTTATCGATTTCAACCTTCGAAGCAAATGTGGAAACACATTTTCAAGTGTGGTTTATCGCAAAACTAATAAAGCAATATTCCGCCGCAAGATCGATATTCGTATAGATATATAATACATTTCAAGAACCTTCAAGAGAGTTTCTCGAAACTTTCGACAACGAAATTTTTGCGTTAGCGCTCAACAAGTAACGAACGGGAAAGGTTTTTTCTTTGCGAAGTGGAGTCCCAAGTGGGCGCAGAACGACCGAACGAATTGGATTCTCTCGAGGTCTGATATCGGACGCGGGAACGTTGATTAATCGCGAGTGCAAACAACGTGCAACGCTGCTCGATATCTCGCGGTCCCTTCTCTACCGGAGGAGAGATGGTGCGCGCTTCTAGAAGACGACAATTAATTTTCCCAATTCCGTCGGTCGTCCCGCGCGATGTTCGCGCGCCAGCTGCGCCAACATTAATAAGAGAAGACATACGTATCGTCATGAATAGCGGAAAGCCGATGTACATTGAGGCTTCCTTCCGTACGTTCGCTTCAAATTAGGTCGCTAAAAGTGCAGATGTTCCATCTAACAATAAGGCATTGTCTTCAATTAGTTAGAAAAATTTAGAAAAACCTTCTCTAGTATAAGAAAACGTATGAAAGCGCGCGTATTCATGAAAATTTAAATCATGATCTATATTAAATTTATTTTTTAAATTCTTTTTCTTATGCTCAGGTATAACGTCATCAAGGCACAGCTGTGAAGAATTTAATTACGTATTAAAAGTATTACGAATAAATATTTTAAAATATTTTAAAATATTTTAAAATATTTTAAAATATTTTAAAATATTTTAAAATATTTTAAAATATTTTAAAATATTTTAAAATATTTTAAAATATTTTAAAATATTTTAAAATATTTTAAAATATTTTAAAATATTTTAAAATATTTTAAAATATTTTAAAATATTTTAAAATATTTTAAAATATTTTAAAATATTTTAAAATATTTTAAAATATTTTAAAATATTTTAAAATATTTTAAAATATTTTAAAATATTTTAAAATATTTTAAAATATTTTAAAATATTTTAAAATATTTTAAAATATTTTAAAATATTTTAAAATATTTTAAAATATTTTAAAATATTTTAAAATATTTTAAAATATTTTAAAATTTATAATATATATTTTTATTGTATTTTTAACACATATAATATACATATTCAACATATATTTCTATGTGCGTTTTATATATAGAAGCATGTTGAATATACAGTATATAAAAATAAAAATACCGAGAAAGTATAAGCAATATTGGCAATATAGACAACAGCGCGTTAATTTTATGCCACGATTATCAAATCCCCTGGAACTTGGCCGTATTTTTTTTTTTTTTTTTCAGGTCAAATTCTACAGAGAGCCGCACGATTTTTATTTTAAACTCAATTTGGCACTGTGGAAAAATTGAGTCGGTTTTACGGTCAGTGGTAGCAAAATCCAGTTGGTCCGCGAGCAAATTGACACGTCCGCGCGAGCACACTTTCGCAAAGTCGAGCGCGAGGGCACACCGTGAAACTCAATTCGCCCGTAGAAGCGAAGAGTAGAATACGCGTCATGATAGCGCTAATAATATACAAGTAACGAGAAAATTCAATTTGCTCGCTGTCGGAGTTATCGGTCGGCGGGACGGAGTTTTCAGAGCTGCGACATTAGCATCAAATGCGTAAACAGAGAAGACTCGCTTAGACGCAGCTCGACTCGCGATCTTCTCGTTTCCTCGTCCCCCTTACTTGTTCTTGAAACATACGCTACAAACTCCATTTTCCGAGATAAATCGTATTAAGTCCTCGCATGTTATTAAGTTATTTTATATATATGCGTATTGCGTAAACGCCACAGTGGGGCACTACTTGCCGCTTCTGATAAACAGTCGAAGCAAGTTATTTGATAAAACTTGTTAGCACAGTAATATTATCGCGAAGCTAATATACTAGCTACGAATGTGGATAATTTTCATATCAGAATTGATTGGAGAACATTGATATGATCGATTGTCGATGACTGATCGGATTTGAGCCACTAAAATATCATCCGTGATTAAAATATGTCTTTTTTTAAACAATGCACAACAAGTAAGAAACAAATTATATTGTATTTCCCGTAAAATATTTTTATTTTATTCACTTTGTTTTCTATTTTATACTAAAATGCGATCTTTTTTCTTGTCGCCAATTATTATACGAATTTAAAGACTGTAAAATATAAATGAAAAGCGCTATATAAATAAAAAATGCATTTTTGTACAAAATTTTTGCTTTTTTTAAATTTTGTTTAATTTATTTTTATTATTTATTAAGAAACGCTCTTTCTTTTTCTTGTTACAATTTGTTGCAAATTTAGAAATATAAAATAATCTTTAGGAAAAAAGAACTGATTAGTGTTCCAAAAAGCTGATTAGCTTTATTAAAATGACTGATGATCATGCAGTAATTGATGAAAATATCATCAGTTACTGTATATGTTTTATTAGAACACTAACCAGTTCTTTTCCTTAAAAGTATATAGATAAGAAATACATATAATTATTGTGTGTGAGGAAAACGTCTTTTTACATACTAGATATATATAAGAGGACCCTTTCTCGACTCACCATTTATTACGAATTTTCACTTTTGTGTAAAAGTGTTTATTTAATTTATTCGGTTTAATTTATTATCATTTTGCATCAAGAAGCATAAGATTATATCCTTGCCATAAGAATATAGATCATAGAAAATGATTTCTAATTCAAATGGTAATGCATGTCGTATGAGTTTACTCCTTCGCGGCCCCACGGGTACAAGGAAACTCAAGTGACGATACTGCATACGTACGTAATTATGTACATAATTATGACCGAATGGCCGTCGGCGATTGTTGACGACAGCCGTTGTTCGGATCTGTCATACGCACGTCGCACGCTGCCATATATCGCTGTTGATCCAATTTGTCGGCGTTTCTCGCGACGATTGCGTACGTTTCGCACGCACGGGTAACGATTCAGCATGGGTAACTGTTGCGGATTGTGTTACAAGAGATCGTCGTCATACGAAGATATCACTCCTGATCTGGTGCGTCTTCTTTTTTAGGTTATAAACGCACACGTAAATATTGTTAATTCTTCAGCCACGTCGCAAATAACATTGTTAAATCGTCATGACACACCATTCTGTCTCCGGTTTTTGTTTCTCTCCGAGACAAGTCTTGGTTGCCGAAAAATGATTTCTTTCGGAAATTATTATTTCTCCGTTTTCCTGTTGCGTTGTAAGACCGCTCTGAAATATTTTTGACGTGAAGCCTGTCCTTTTTAGCTGAACATGCACGATTTTATTCTTTTTTCTTCGCACGTTGAAGAAAAAATAGCGAAGAATGAACTGCGTGAAAAAATAGTTTGGTTAAAAAAATTAACCTACAGTATTTTTCCTTTTCTCCTCAGGAAACTATACGTAGAAAACAGGCAGAAGCTGCTGAGAAGAGGATAGCCGAGCTACAGCAACGGGGTATAAAAGATATAGAGGTTGTCAAGAGACAGCAGCGACGGGCAATGGAACTTGAGAAGCGAGAACAGGAGGCTGCTGCTAGTGGCACACAGCCTGCACTACGAGTAAGGATATATAATTACTTGCATTTCACCGTGTTTAAATATTTACTTGGACAAGATTTCACAAAGCTTGATGTATCCATTTTAGTGGCAGGTAAACTGAAAGGGGAAAAAAAATGTTGCTATTCAACAAGAAGCTGTACATTTTCTTATTCGAAAGGTATTATAAGTATTCTACGTAACACTGGGCTGACCAAAATGAGGCAAACCTAACATCACCAACGATAATGTTATAGTCACACAAGTGCAATCTTATTTTGTATCTTACATAGAATTATGAGAATAAGCTTTGAGTTGATCTTTTAATTTCATAAAAAACACATCAGCTGAATTCGAACGATTGATACGAAGTTTGTTCTCAGGTGATGTATATTTTTTATTGTATTTTATATGAAAGTTTATATATGTACGTAATACATAATTGTGCACGCTGTAAAATACTACTAACACTGCTATAGACGTTAAAATGTTTTTGCTTTATAATTTGCTAAATGATTCTATTTTAAATATAATACATTTATATATGTATATGTTATACATATAAATATATTGCAGTTAAAATATAATTACAAATATGAGAGTTACCATTGTAAAAATAAACTTTAAATAATGAAAATATTTAAGAACAAAAGATGTCTTTATGCATTGTTAATCATTCTTTAATAAAAATCAACTTTTGTGATGATGCAAGTTTCAAATTTACGATCTACATAGTGCCTACACTTAAAAAATATGTACCGAGAAATAAGACTAAAAATGTATCATTTGTTGTATGTATAATCTTCTTGTATACGTATGCAAGTTTATATTTGTTAAAATATAAATTTCATATCTGTAATATTTAATAATTATGTGATATAAAAGTAATTTAATTAAATTCTGATAATATATTTATATTTCTGTATATTGTATGTATAATGTATATAGAATGTATTTGAGTAATACAAAATATACACTTACTAATATTATATTATTACATTTTATATTATATATCTTGTATTATATGAAATAGCAATACATGTAAATGTACAAATGTAATATATCAGAAATTACAAATGAATGAAATGGTACTTTAATATATATTTCTCATTGATATCTCAATGTATTATTGTATTAAATTTTGCAAATATTAAAAAATCTACAATATACATAAATTAGGACTTAACATACATACATATCTCTCTTTAATTTATCTTGTACAATTTTGTGAAAATTGTACAAGATATTATATTTTAGATAATAAATTCTTATGAATATAATTGTACAAAAAAGTTGAGATGAACGTCATATGGAATGCTATTGGAATTTTAATATATATAGTGGCTGGACATGATATTAAGAATTCTTCTATACAGTTTATAAAAAGATTGTAAAAGATAATCGGCTTGCAAAAATATTCCTTGCTTTAATAAAGAAAATAGATAAAAAGAATATTTATTAAAATTCTTTTTTTATATCCATTTTTTATTAATGCGATGAATGCTGACGGATTTTACTTTCTCGAACTTGGACTCCTTCACTCCGAGAAATGCGTAAGAGATCTTGTGGTTTTATGCGTGTTAAATAGATGTACACAATTGCAGCATCTAATTTTCTTTAAATCTCATATTTTCCCTATTCGATGAACCGACCAAGAGCGAAACAACTTTTTTGCCGATTTATTCTTAAGCTCTCTGCCATGAGCGATTTGTACTTCCAACGAGGCACCGTTATTCAATGCCAACCACGTATGAATCTCATCAGTAGCTGCAGATGCACCTATATTTTTAAACAAGAATCATATAATATACGAAAATATGAAACAACGACGAATTAAAGGATATACAGAACTATTGAGATATATATATATATATATATATATATATATATGTGTGTGTGTGTGTGTGTATATAATACTATAAACTTTAGTTAAAATAACAAAGATATAGATTTATTACATACAATGTATGTTATAATTATACTTTAACATTAATTAAAGACGTCGGTTCATATATGAGCACACACACAAGAATATTTAAAATATCATACCTAGTAATTCATGTAGAGTTATACGTCGACTGGCCAACAACTCCTTACTAGCGCTCCTAATCTCGAATAATAGTAACGACTGCCTCGGTACACCGTCACCGTCTATATGGAAATCTATGCTAAATTGAGGATTAGGCATAGCTGGCAGAAGTCGCGATTTCGCGATAGTTTTACCGCTGTTAGGTGAGACGATCTTATCCGGACTGGTACATCTGGAAATTTTTAATTTAATTATCTGTCGTCAATCAATGCCACCGCCGTCAATCATATTAACTATATTTACGTTTGAAGTTTTACTCGGCAGTATAATTGGGCAATGTGTGCTACATGGAGACCCTGCGCTTGAAGAACCTTCCCTTCCACTCCGGAATACTTTTCTCTAGTACCGTTGACAATTTTCAAATCTGAAAATCCAATGTTCTATTTTATTTTCATGTTTCAGCATTAAATTGTAAAACTTTATCACCTTTCGGTCTAAGAGAAGGAAAGTCTGTTTATTTTAAGGAAAAGACCAATATATTTAATTCTTATTTTCTTTCTTTAATTTTACTGTTTTGAATGGCATCAACAATAAGCGTGACGTGAAGTGTATTTAAGAGCGTCTTAAGTCTTAAGCTTTCATAAGTCAATCATAAGAATTAGTATTTTAAGATATCACTGATGAAATAAGAACCGCGACTATAAATATCGAAAGATCTAAAATAAAAATATCTGTAAGGCTAATATTCATAATCGGTTCTTATTTCAAGACTGTCTTAAGTAATGACACTATTGCGGTCCTCTAATTGATTCGTGACATCTGAAGACTAAACTTAAGACTGTCTCGAATATAAAAATTGACTATGAATATCGGCCTATATGTTAAAAATATCACGTATGATGATATTGGCTACCCACTAACCGTTCGGCCTCAATCTTAACCGTGGACTGGGCTGCCTTATCCTGCCTAACATGTCAGGTTGCGATACCGCGTGTGCAAGACCGGATTCCGACAAGAGCTCCGTGGCGTCAGCCTCTCCGCCGCCTCTGGGTTCCAAGCTCAGAGTGATGCCCTTATTATCGGTTTTATCCTCTATAGTTACTTCCGAACGAAATCTACGAAGTTTTAAACCCCTCTTCACCTACAATTACGAAATACCTTAAATTGACGTTTCGATCATGAATAATTTGACGCGTTTACCTTCTGCTTCATCATACGGAAACTGTTGTACTGCGGTAACTTCTTGCCAAAGTTCTGTTCAGGGCTGGGTGTCAAGCTGTGATGGGAAGATCGCCTTTCTGCGATCACTTTGGCGGTGTCAGCCTCATCGACGGAATTACCCGCGACTGATTCTGTAATGACTTTTGGAATCCAAAAGCTCGATGTTCCGTTTATTTCGTTAGACTCTTTACTGGTGATGCTAATTTTATCTATATGGAAAAAAATATATCTTCTATAACCATATTGAACAAATATGCTGTTTATAAAAGTTTGTTGTCAAGTAAAAAATATATATATGTAAATATATGATATGAGTTTTAAAACATGACATTACCAGACTGGTTGGATGTGGTTGGCTTCAGGAGAGTGACGGTGCGTGGTGGAGGCGGTGGAGGTACAACCGGATCCAAATGTAGACGTATTTTAGATCTTTCCATAGAAGGCCTTCGCACAATACTCGATAAGGAATCAGGTTCGGTGTTCAAACGTGAAGAATTGTCGCTGATATTGCTGGTTGCGTACGTGCTTTGCGTCTAGAGCAAATAATTTCAAGCGGAGATTTATAATCAGAAAATACTCGAACAATTACAAGATGATTGAACACAAGGTAACAGTAACAATATATCAATGTTATAATTTTCTCCTCAATAATATAACTGTTATGTATAATATGTGTTGAGTAGGAAATTATAATATTGATGTAACATTATTGTTAGTTCGTATTTAACCAGTGCTGAAGTTATTGTTGCGCTAACATTACCTCACATTCTTCCGATAGGATTTTAATTTTCAGCTCTATAGATCCCGTTTTGGTTTCTCTGAGTGAAAACCAATGGGACTGATCGCTGTTTGATAGCTTTCTGATATCGTCGAGAGTCAGTGATACTTTCCCAAGGTAATCCTTCATGCCGAAAGTATCATGATCCCATAATACCTACAAAATCAAAATTTTTAGAATCATCTCTCTGTTCAAGAGAAGAAATTTCAGTACAAGGTAAATGTGCATAATTACGATATCTAAAGCTTCTCCGGTCTTCGGTAAACCCATGATGGAACTCTCATCCCAGCAAGGATTCAGCGTCTTCTTCTTTATGCTGCTTTTATATTTTGTTTCGTTGTTTAGTTTTAATTCGCAGAAGGGATCACTGAAGCCATTCAGATCCTTCGCGACGAGATCTCTCGCGCGCAACAACGTCACCTCCATCAAACCGCTTCCAGTGGACAAAAGACTGGATATATCGGAGGAAGCGGGATCGGCGTCCTTGTGCGTTAATAACAGCTTCTGAAAGTTTAATACTTGAGTGGGCACACATAGAAATTTTTTCCGGATAAATATAGGAATTTATACAGACTGCCTGTTGCATCCATGGCAAATTGTTTCGTTTGATTTTCGGTTCGTCATCCAACGTAGTTGGAACCAAGCTGCTTCTACGACTGTTAACTACTTGCTGTACACTTTTGATAGGATAAAACAGTACGGAGACCGTCATGGTGGAGGCGACGTTGGAACCGCTGAGCGTGAATTCTTTTCTAACGATCCACGTCGTGTCCTTTGAAAAAAATTACTTTTTATTAAAATTTTTTTACAGCTTTGTAAGATAACTGCGCGGTAACGCGTAACGTGATTTGATGGATTTAAAACAAAAACAAGAGGTAAATATATAATCTGTAAAGGATATTTCGCAAGTATAGTACTACGTCAGATTCTTGAAACAGTTCTTTCCAGATCATAGTTTTCTTTATGATGAATCGTCCGATTTCATCAAGGAACACTTGAGTACCTGAGACAGAGATAGCATAGCCAATCCAAGCATGTCCGTATCCATCGATTTTACTATATTCCATGAATAAATGACGAAGCTCAGCGACACTTGCGTGTAATCCTGTACTAAAAATTGGGCTCTACAATCCCAAACTGGAGATGTAGTTGAGCGAACGTAATGCGTCGTTTTTACCTAAAAATACATACAACGTCAATAGATTTTGCGTGCGCAGATATAAATTGCAAACATATTTTAAAATTGTAAAATGTATTTACCTTCTTCCGATTATTAAATAACATGCAATAAGGATTACACTGAGCAATATCGCCGTGGAGATTGTCAGCTGAATGAATGTAAACCACCAATACCCCTAAAAATGACAATGTATTACAACGCGAATATATCTTTGTGTGTCATATTTATTTAAAAAAAAATATACATACAAAGACTTCCCCTACAAATTTCTACAAAGACTCCCTACAAATTTTTCACAAGAAATCAAACGATACAAAACATATACAGTAAGTTTAGCATGTTTGAAAAAGCTTTATTGTCCGACAAAAGTTTCAATAAAATCTATCAAGCGTACATTTAATTAAACATTGCGTCAAATCAAAGGACACTGCACATAGTCATGCTCAGATTTCACCACGGTATTTCAATTAAATTTACCTGCTTTGTGCGCTTTGTGGCAAGAGTCTCGCGACACTGAAAATATTTCATATGATAATACTGATCGCGGAAAAAGGATGTTCATGTATTTCGTAGAAATACATTCGCCGTGATTTAATATCAAAGTACCAGTTTCATATGTTCTACAGCCTTGGCCATAAATATAAAAGAACTTTCGATTTATTGTATTTTCTTAAAAAAGACGCGGTAATAAAAGTCAAAGAAAAACTGCAATATTATTAATTATAAAATTGTAATTATTATAAATATTATATTTCAATAAAGTTATCGTTTTTAATAAAACTTTTAATTTATTTTTCGTTAGATACAGAACGTTTACGTCAATTTGTGGGCGTGCTTTATACTTATAATCAAAATTGTACATTATATGCTTTATATTTATACATATATACCTGCAAGATGCATATTTTCGGCCATTAGTTCTGGTTGTGGTAAATCGGGATCCAGATGTGGCAGAGTGGTGTATTCTAATCGCGCATTGATATTTGGAATATTAGCGCTGTTGCGAGACGGTTTCTTTTGTTGCAGCACTGTTTCAACGCTGTCAAACGAAGGCAAATGAATTAACGGAGAATATTAAGTCTAGTCGCGGAAACTCGTGTTCACGTCAATACATACGGCTGAAGAAATCGACATGAAATACTCGAGGGACGTGGCGCGTAGCGTGTAATTAAACGCGATCAATGCGACTTACATTTGTGAATTCTCCCAGTCGTAGACTCCTAATGCTAACTCAAATTGCGCCAGAGTGATCGTACTAACGAGACGTTTTGCTTTCAACTTGATGGTGATCCTCTCGTTGTCTAACGGCCCGACCAAAAAAGATACATCCTCGGTCCACGTGGAGCTCAAGTTCGAGGTAATTCGTCTTTGATCGCCCACCGTTACCACGAGCCATCTCACTTCATCAGCAACGTTCGCTAGCAATGGAGAAAGGCCAGTCAGGGACTTTCTAACGAGTCCATAATAGTCCATAATAATTAGTTAGCACGTCCATTATAACTTATAACAATTGCGTGTTTGACAGGAATATCTACAGTATAAAGTCAAACTGCACGTCTTAACTATGCTAAAACACGCTAAAAGAAAATTTAACGGTCGATAACCGTTTTCTTTCCAGATTTTAGTGTACGATTACTTGTGAGTCTTCGCCTAAAGGAAACTCACCAGAACAACCATTTTGGCATAGAACAACGGTGAGCACTCCTTGCGGCAACAAATTGGTCACGGAATCCAATCCAGGACCCGGTCGCTCTCGCGCCCTCAGGTTCAGCTCCAAATGGCCCGGATCGACCAGCCAGCTGGCCAGAGCATCTGTGACCACCGCATGAATCCAAGTCTTGATCAGTGGCATCTCCATCATCTGCACCGCCCGTAGGATTCTTACGCTGAACCAGACGTCTGGCTTCTCCAGGAAACTTACGCTGAGTCCGGTCGCATGTGGAAACGGCGCCGACGCGTTCAGTGTTATGTTAACAATGATTGTGCCGGACAGCGATAGCTTCTCCACCGCCAGGTCAATGTCCATTCCCACACTGTCAAAATATTTATAAAGAATTGTAAAATTATTTTAAAATGGAAAATGGATTTCAATAACATTATATGATTCGGAAGAAGAAAAAGGCAAACTTGAAATATATTGTACAAAATAGATTTCTAAATTTAATTCCGATTAAATAAGTAAATTGCAATTAATCCTTCGTGATTATGCTTTCTGAGAATTTTATGTCGGTTACACAGAGGGCAAAATAATTCCAATACTTTTAATTGATTGTCGTACTTACAGCTTTTATTCTTTCAAATCACAAAAATTATTAAACATACTTTGAACATTGTAGCCGTAAATTAATATGTTAAAATTAAAATCGTTAAAAAACAGTGGTTTAAAAAAAATTTTAATTTTAACATATTAAAAAAAATTTGAAGGTAAAAGTTTTCAAAAATTGCATTTTTACAAAAAAATCATGATTATTTTAATTTTCAGTATATATATATATATAATTAGAGTATATATACAATAAATATATATATACATATATATATATATACTCTATAGATATGACACTATTAAAAAAAAAATGCAATAGTCCGTGTTTCAAAAAAGGTATTTATTCTGACGCCTAAAAAAGTTTTCGCAAATAACAGAGTATGAAGTTATTATATAAAAAAGTATTTATAGTTAGTGTAAGAATATGACTTTCTTTATATTGTATCTCTAAAGAAAGTCATATTCTTACACTGGTGATTACGAAAGTTTAATGATACAACAATGTAAAAATAAATTAATATATGTGATTTTATTTAAGACATTCACGAACTGTTTTTACGTTTTTAATGCAGTGAACACTTTGTTTCTCACCCTTTACCAAACAGCCGCGTGGTGATGAGCATGCGGAATTGCTCGCAGTCCAGCCGTAGGTCCGCTTCGATGGACAATTTAGTCTGGCCGAAGAGGCCATTGGGAACATCATCATCGCTGCAGCAATCGAGTGTTCTGACGCGAGTTATACACGGTGTCTGTTCGCCGAGAGTGAGTTCGCGTAATTCTAATGGACCTGAAAAACGAGTATCTCTTTAAGAGCCACGATGAAACCGCCTAAATGGCCAAGTAATTTATTTGAATCCTTCGAGCGATTAATTTCTTTGACAAACTTCTTTGGCTTACTTATTTCTCTTTCTCTCTCCTACCGCGGGTCACATAACATGGTATTTAAACAAAGTTTTAAACAAAGTGTTCTTACCGAGTATACCGGGTTTGGCTTCGTTAAGAAGAGGTTCCAGTCGTTCCTTCGCCAAGGAAAATATACTGGCAGCGCTGAATCTCCACCTGGGGGAATAATCGTTACATAAACGACGGTTCTAATATAAATCTATCGTGTCATCGGAATTTAATCAAAACTCTAGTTTTCGTTACCAGTTTATTAAAGATCTAAAGTCTACATGAAATTGCTCAGAGCTTTTCCCCTTTCTTGAATCTCCAAGAATCGATATCACGAGAAGAATGCGACACGATTCATTAAACATTCAGTTTAATTAAGTGAATGGCCAGATTTTAATACGATAAAGCGCTCTTTCGAGCATGAAAAACGCGTACTGACGTTTCGGTGTTATAACGGACGAGTTGTTTTCAGAATTTATTACATTAACGACATCCCATTTTTGTCATTGATAACGAGTTGATTCGCATAATATACAGCCTACGCGTGTATTATAGGGATTTCCTGAACAGACAGGTAAATTAACACGTGCCCACGCACTCGTCATTTTTTAGAATGCTTGGATATAACATCTTACCCGTCCCAGTTCGACGCTTCTAGGTTTTTCATCATTGAATTCTCTCGTTAAATATAATTCTTTTACGTGACACTTCAAACAAATAAAAATTTTAAAATTATTTCTTCTGTCATTATTAGTACAAACTCTCTATTATTTTTTTATTATACTTCATTATTTAAATACATAAATATACCAATTTTGCAAAAAATCATTAATTGCATATTTATATCATTGTCTTCTTCAAAACGACTATATAAGTACGGGAAGAATAGCGCTTCGCTAAAATATTTACAAATTTACTTATATTTTGTTATATAGCTAGATGTATGTAGATCTGAAAATAATTATGTTGGATTATTTAATTAATACACGTATATTAATTAAATGTTTAGATGCTTTAGTAAAACGTATACTTTTCATGTAAAAATTGCTTTTATATTCATATCGGAACATCATGTATACGGAACTAGTCTATCCGTGAATTATTATTCAGTCTTTCTAGACTATGTAGTGTATTCTTTGTAGGGTGCTCGATTCCATAGAAATTTTTCCGAAGTCATCGTTTCCTGCACTTCGCACATGATCAAATAAGCGCCGTCGTTTTCTTTACGCTCGCGCTCGTACAGTGCAAGTGTGTAACATGTTGAATTCACTACTTTTTCCCAGCATGTAGATGCTCTCGATAGTCGGTGAGAAACCCGCAGCCGGAGCTGTTTAGGAATGCTCGAACAGGTCTATCAACTATCCAAATAAGTAGCTTTCCACGCCTTATTGCCGCTTTTGCTGTACTGGCCGTTTTCATCAGCCGCTGACAAACGAGGAAAGAATGATGCGTGAAGAAAATCGCTTGAACACGTCGATGAAACCGTCGATGACTATGACATTTTTTTTTTATCATATGAATCACTTCGAAATTAAGTAGCAAATTTTTTTAGACCAGAAATTGATTCTAAACATTTTTTTAGAAATTTTCATCGTTTTTGTTTCCACAACGAACAGAAAGTGATCCACTTTGTGATAAATTTTATCTCCAAGATAAGTTCTTTAGTAATCTACTTCCTTTTTATATTTTTATTTAAAAAAAATTATATTAAGATCCTCGTACGCGCGCTTGTACGTAACTTTATGAACCGATGACATTTTGCAATTTATTTAAACGCGGTCGATTCTATCAACATCGACTCGTTCCGTTCGACATGTGTCGACGATGGCGACGGACAAGGATTTTATCCGCGGCATAGGCAGCAGAAACGTGAAAGGCCACATTTATACTACGCGCGTCAGGAATGTGGATATGTTTACAAATGCGAATGTAGTACTCGTATCCGAACGAGGAGTTCATTCACCCATTGTCCGATGCGAGGACAATCCGCGATATATACCCAGCGGCATTACAATAGGCGTTATTACCGCGAATCGCGACTATACGGAAGAGCGAGGTGAGGTCACGAAATAAATGTACAGTAATAAAGGACATATTCATATATGTATATTGCTATACGTTACACTTACATAAACTTCTCTAGACAGACATTCTCCTTTCTATTATTTTTTTTTATTAATCGACAAACACGATATACAGTTAGGATACATCAATCTTGAATGATTTCTCTGTTAGGAAAAATTTATACTCATTAAAGAAAGAATATCGATACAAGTTGCTTTGTAATAATCATTTTTTTTTTTCACAATTTAATAACTTTTACGAACAAACCGCGATAAAATACACTGTCAAATTAATCTTTTTTTTTTTAATATCCACATAGGAAAAACGGTTTTTACTGAAGTATCCACTTAAAAATTTGGCTAGCTATTTTAAAAACAATTTTGTCAAACTGTTAAAGTAATCAGAATCACGTAGGATGCTTTTGCGACATCGCTCATTATGCTTGAGCTATATAATTATACTAATGGTTAAAAATGTATCTTTAATGTTATTTTTAAATCTGTGTTCAGTTAAATTTCAAGGTAATCCTTCAGCAAAACCGTTGTAAAGATTTCGCAGAAAATTTCGTTATTTTCATCAGAGTAAAATCGTTCTCTCCGTGCACTTATTGATAACAACGGCGTGCATTGGCGTGGTGTACCAGGTAGTGTTCTCTTTATAGCTTCATCGATAACTGAAAAACGGTACTTGCCACTTGTTGAGAAGCAGACTGAGCCACTCGGCGGTCTCATCTTTGTACAAGGCCCGTCTTCTACGTAACCTGGCCAGTTCGTGCTGCAATTCCGTCTGAAGAAGCCGGGAGACTCTCGCTTTAACGATGGTGGTTGCCAGTGCCAGGACCAGAACCAGCCACGCCAGCGACAGACCCGCCGCTCCTATTATCCAGGTGATCGCGAGTGCCACTCCGAGATACAGGGCGGTGCGAATTGCCTCTGCATCTCTCTGCAAAGAGATATTTCATCCGGTGTGTTTATGCGCATGCATTTACATATGTATCAAATAAATACGAAGTGTCTTTTGTAATCTTAAATCTTCGCGTCGCGCGTGTGCCGTTCAATACGGCGACAATCGAGTCGCATAATACGAGTACGCTTAGAGTATTGCATTAACATCAATATGAAAAATTAGGTTAATGCCGACTAATTATGAGTTATGTATTTATGTTTGCAATAATTAATTCCTGATTACGTAAAATGAAAACCATTTGAATTAAAGTTTAATTGTAGAGTTTGGTATGGAGAAGTATTCGCTAGAGCTCTCACTAATTATTACTACCACTAATATCTTTCGTTTAATTATAATAATTAAAAAATATTTTTAATTAAATTTATTGATATTATACGTATTTTGTTCTATTTCTTTATATATAATTATGTTATTAATTCGATCCCTTTTTTTATATTCTATGTTTAGCGCACTATGTTAGTTTCCTTCTTTTTAACATAACTAATCAAATATTAATGTCGTTTCGTATAAAAGTAATACTTAGATTTAAAATTAAAACAACTGATAAAATTGTGAAATTTAAATCTATTAGGAGCAAAACATCGAGAAAAGGATTAAATCTTAAAAATAAATTATAAGGTAAATGAGAATAGAAAAATAGGTCTCTCTCTCTCTCTCTAGTTATAATTTCTATTTCTGTTCTATTTTCAAATATATGATAGTTATTTTCAGTTTATTTTATAATTACCGTGTAATTTTTAAAATACAAATTTCCATTTTTCTCAATATGTATGTGAAACGAAATACCAGGCAGACAAAGTATGCTTAGCGCATTATGCGCAACCTTGCTGTATCCACGTAAAAGACGCATAAAGGAATACACCTATTAACGATACAAAACAACCCTGCAATGACAGTCCGCTCGTACGTTCACTCGCAGCGTATCATTAACAGCAATTTATCCGTGCGAGGGACGTTAAGACCGTACAACCGTACGTATTGCAATTTCCGAACATTCTCGGAAAATATTTTTGTCCCCGGGCCCGCGAAATAAAAGCGACGTCACGCGACAACTTTGTCCAAGAAGTCGTACCTTCGTCTTGCTAGGATGTAGGACATGATCCCTACGTGCCCACACGCGACGTCGCGTGCAACATCGAAGAAGTCTCTCTGACGTCACCGAAGAACGTCATTAACCCCGGTAGTTAAATAATAAATCGTAAGTACAAGAAAGTTTCGTGATCTTATATATATGTATATGGAATTTTATGTAGCTCACTACATGTGGAAATGGAGAAGATGTTGCTGAATAAAGATATATCTGAGTAATCGTATACCTGATATAAGAAAGGGCAATTTTCGTTAATAAACAATTTCATTCCAACTGTAGTCTAAAAAGAGTAAAATTCTTCGAATACAGTCCAATAATAATTCTTGAAAAGTCCGTTAAGCGCGATTAAGCGTTTCAGAAGTTCCATTCAAACTACAACGCAAACTGATTTGTGAAGTAAGATTTTTCTCGTGCAATTTATTCCGCGTTTGCGAAGTGAAGTGCGCTTCGCTCTTAAAATTAAATAGAGCGATATTAATGCGAAAGATGATGGGGTCTCCACGCATCTCCCGTTCTTGTCTCGAGGTCAAAAGGCGTGCACGTTCTCGCTCGCAAGCGTGTCCTTGCGCAATAGTAATTCGACCCGTTCTGTCAAGAACGTAACACTTCATTAATTGGAAAGTTGTCCAACGTTGAGAGAAGCATAGCGAGGTGATCGCAATGTACACGCCGGTATCCCGTACAAGTGGAAGTTGGCGGAACTGTTACGAGAGCTTCATTTTCCCCATTTACGAAATTGCAGCGCAGCAAATGTTATTTATCGACGAAAATAATTCAGTTCTGCGTCACAGCTTGTTCTATTTACGCCAATTTTAATTAGAGAAAATGCTACAGTCCTGCGAAAAACAATTCGAAACGATTTCTTTGGGCTATCTTGTCTGTGAAAAAAAGCACGCTTTCTAAGAATTAATTTTTAAGTATTAATTAGATTATATACATATAGTGAGATACTTACGATCTGGTGAAGATTAAATCAGTACGCGCAGTTTAGTAAAATCATCAAAATCTTCGTATCTGAAAAAGAGAGTTTTTACAAACGGCCGGCTCGCTTCAAACACAGCACGTGTATGAAGTTGATCTCGAAGGACTTTGCCTTTTAAGTAGAGTGCTAATTACTCTCGGTAGTGGAGCTAGAGAAGAGTGCGAGATAAAGATCTTTCGAGAAATCCCACGAGTTCCGTGCCGGAAAGTGTTACTTCAGTGACTTCCCACGCAGATAATAATTTTAGTTCTGCATCCATAAATTTAAATGTCGAATAATAAATCGACACTCATATACGGAGGGGTGCTATGACTTTAATTATTCATTCCTAATATGGAATCGACTTTTTTCTTTACTAAATTATCGAAGTGCCAATATTTTTCTAGCTGCAAATTTTTATACGATATTTAGACAAAGATGTCTGATCAGTTTATTTAATTTTAAACAAATTTTGCACTCTTGAAATTTTATTTTGAGCTAAACGTTTTGAAAGAAAAATGAGTTTTTAAAATTGATAAAATCTGTTTTAATATTAAGTAAGTTTTTAAGTTTGATATAAAATGTGTTTTAATATTGAAACACTGATAATCTTGAGGTATCTTGTATATACAGTATCTTGTGTATGTATATTTATTATGTAGCATGCAAAGAATATTTAAACAGTTTTAGACACGGTCTGTAGGCGAAATTTCTTCTCAAAATTCAATTAGATCGACATGAAGCATCAAGAAGCAACGAAGCTTATTAATATGAAACTTACAGGCTGCTAATTTGATAGGCAAAGATACATTTTAAGTTACTCACCAATAAGAATTTTTATATTTTCTCTAATTAATCGGATATTTTATTCATTAAAAATACATAATTTCTTTTATACATTTCAATTAATTCTGTTGATGAAATTTTACACGCTGTAATTGTTACCATCGTCAAATCACATAAATTTTCCATTAAAAAGATATTCTACTATATTAAATTAAAAACCCAAATTAGAGAAAGAGAGAGATATATAAATTAACAAACAAATTGTATATAAACAGGAGCTGAATGCACATCTTCACATTATTTTAAATATTTCCATGTAGTCAAAATTTAAATAGGTCGACTTCGAGGCTTAAAATCGCAGAGGCGAACGTAAAAAATTGTTGAGTTCAATAACAATAGCCACAACGCGGCCAGCGACGTCAGTGAATGTTCAACGATGCGCACGCAGTGTGGCCCATCGCCAGGTCGTCGCGACTTTTCTCTTCTTCATGGGGCATTGTGCCCGATCGCTTTTACGGAATTGACAATTCAACTCGCGTGGGCTCCTTTGAAAAAATACCCACCGCGCACCCAGACACCAGGCATTGAAGCTACATACATATGCACGTGCTCGCGAGAAACGTTCCAAGCGAGTATTCGAGCTTGTCTCTCGTACAAACCCGTGTATATTTCGCACGATTTAATGACACGGTTGTAACTTCATAGCGCAAGAAATAGCATGCTCCAATTTTCATCGGCGAACTTTTTTATTGGACTTCAATATTTCACAATCCCTGCACTTTGCATGCAATGCCCCACGCTTTAATTTGATCTTTTAATTTCAAGTCTCCATTCTAATTTAATCTTCTTGATGCGTATGTTTTTCTTTTCCAATTAAAAAATTTAAAAATAATACAATTTCAAATACAATTATTTAAATACGATTTAAAAATAACAATAGATTTCGTCACAACGTTTTGTGTTTATTAAATCATTAGTAATCTTACTAATGATTTAATAAACACAAAACGTTGTGACGAATTATCGTATGTTTACAAAAAAGATAAACTCTACAATGTTGATTATTTTATTAAATATAAAAAAATAATCATCTCCCAAGTAGACAATAAGCGGTCTTCAGTTTATCGACCAAAAAATTTTGTAGCACAAATTTTTTCTGATATTTAATAAAATAATTGAGATATAACTATAACATACTGCAGAGTTTGATTCTTTATAAAATATACGTTACTGCTAGGTAGCAAGCTGATGCTATTCGTCGTTATTTTGATGTCAAATAATGTCAATTTACTGAGTAATGATTTGCTAAACACACAAAATCTCGTACCAAACTTTTTTATCACCCTGTATATATGAAATAACTTTTAAACGAATCGAAGGACTGGAAAATTTTTTTCTCAGCTATATTCCCATTTATATGCTAACGAATTGAAATGAAAAGGGTCGTGACTAAGGTATGCGAACGTACGAGAAGGAGTGTCTATGAAGAAATGACCTATTTCTTAATCGACGTGCAGTGGTGACTCGGCGTACGAGAGAACAGCACACGCGTTCTCGGTTGTTGCGTTATCAAGAATTTATTATTCGACCCGATCGAGTAAAAAGTCGATGAATAAGTAACCGTACCTGTGCTTTTTGCGCGACGGCGAGGGCGAATTCTTCGTCGGGCGCGGGATCGTCGGGTGTCATGTTGGTGCCCCCCGCCGCACCGCCGCCGCCAACGGTACTGCTGAGGGGTCTGACCGGACCCCCCGTCGAATATGGCCAATTACCAACGAAACTCCCGCCTCCGATGGAGTCGCGCTTTCCTGAGAAAGAACAGATAACATTATAGAGACATAATATGATGTGTATAACATCTAGGGAGACTTTAAAGGATTGCAGTCTACAGTCGAAATAAAGTGAGAATTAAATACCCGCATTCAACGAGATATATGAGAAGAATGCATCTCCATAACATTTGAATTTCTATTAACGATTTCTAATTATGTAAAAAATGTCGAGTAAGAGACATTTTTTATCTCTAGCTTACACAATTTAATTTAGTGAGACAATTTTGAGTATGGATATTTATTATATTTGTTAGTCACTTCAAATATAATCTACTCTTTAAGATACATCAAGAATTATATGTATATATACACACATTTTATGTGAAGTATACTTATTTTTCACGAAATTAAATATAACTTGGAAAATTATGCGATGTTTCAACGAAAAAATGTTGAGTGGTTATAATCTAAAATGAACAAATCCATTACATAATGTATTAAATAAGCGTTTCTATAATAATTCATATGTGTATAATTTAAATTAATGTTCTCCTTTAATATTCAATTATTTCCCCTTTTTAATCTTTGAAATGTAATATTGTTGTAATAGTGCTCCAAAGTTTCAATAGATGTCAATAAGTTTTTTAGAAAATAGAAATAGAAAAAAATTGTTTTCACATTTTATATTAAATATCTATTAAATAAATTAATATTTCTTCCACATTTTTAAAAAATAAAATATAATATTTGTATCACAATGAATTAACGTTAATCAAAGTGTTTATTTAATTACTAACACATTATCACTTATTTTTGTAGACTTTGTTGTTTCTTTCGCCTTACATAAACGATAGTAAAATATAGAATATACAACTTCATTGTACACAATTTTTAATCTTGAGTAAATAAATATTTGCTTACTAGTATTTGTTTTGAATTTCTTTAGTTTCTCTTTATTTCTTTTACAGAAAGTAAATTAAAATATAATACGTTTCTTTGGTTCAAGATATAATATATAAAATAAAAAGGACCAACATTTAATAGGTAAAGTTTAGCTCACGTTTGTTTCACGTTATTTTTTTGCAAAAACATTTATCACAACATTTAAGCAGTGCTATAAATAATAAATTTATTGTTGTTAAAAAAATATTTGACACAACTTAAACTTTGCGCTATTTATTTCATTATACTTTTTTATTGCCTTTCTCTTGAATGATCTATCGGTTAAAAGTTAATTGAGTTTTATTTGATTCAACGCGAGTATGCAATAAATTTGCAGCTCTGTATTGCAGTGCATATCAATCAGTGCGCTGGTAAAAGAGCGAGGACAAGTGTCACGAGTAAGAGTTATTGCTGCGGAAGAAAATGTGCATATATCCCTCCGATACATTCGCGTGATATATCCTACGGATATCTCTCAGCCATTTGTTAAGCTAACTGTCTTGGTTAATAGCCTTTTGAAACGCATCTCTATCGACTTACTAATAAGTTATACTATATATTTATGAAATGCTTGGTGAAACTATACGAATACATATACTTAAAGTTTCGATAGCAAGGTTTTGCTTAATATTATATTTATACTTTATTTCGCGATTATCAAAAATAATCTTTGCGTTCGATTATTAACTGAAAAAAATCTAATAGCGCACGAATTCGATTATTGGACGCAGTAGCGTATATGTAAAACCGTTGTACACTAATTTAATCTGTGTAAATGTAAAGTGCAGGTATTTTGGATTATAAAATACAGATTTTATTTAACAACGCAACAAAATGTATTGAGGATTTCATGGATTAATCCATTTTTATATTAAACATATACATTCGTTTTACGTTAAATCTCATTTTTAATTTGTGTTCGACGATTTTAATGTGCACTGAGTGTATTAAATCGAATTTGCCATAAGTAGAGATCAAAAATACTTTCAATTGATAGATAATTAAAAGTACGTAAGGGATATAATTATCCTATTACGCGAATATCTGCGATTGCCAGCTTAAATTTCTGTGTTAAATCTCGTAGAGCGAAATCTTACTCAAAGAGACTGAAAATTGAGCCAGTCCTAGCACACTTTTCTTCAAGAGTGGCAGCTTTTCACTCTTTTTCCGAGACTGACTCAATTTTCAGTTTTTTCAAGTGAGATTTCACTTCGCGAGATGCAGAGAGTTGATTTATATTGTTAAAAGTAATTTTTATCAGATAAAAGTCGCTTTGATAAAAGTGCTCCCGATATTTTTGAATATTTTAAAAGCTATCCTTATGAAATTCTAATCGATGAAGTTATTTCATCAGAGTTAATCGCGCTATTATACAGTTGTGATACGCAGCGACTGATTCCATGGCGAATCAAGCTCGAGGATAATTCAAGATGCGACCTTGACATTATGGAGGTGCATGTGGGGTGGAATTAGCGTTGCAACCTTTCACGCGGTTGACGTCGCGTACTGCTGTGCCAAGAGTAATTACTTCCGCAGATTGAATTTGGCGAATCACGTTTCGCATTTCGAATGCGATATAGGGTGCACCACGTGTAATCGTTGGCGTGTCGCGGGAAAGAAAACGGCGCGGCGTTCGGTTAACGAACAAAAATCGATAAACTAAACATAAAGTTCCGCGTACCGGTAAAATTTATATTTAGAAACTGAAGCGTGTGAGTGTGTGGAAAACTCGAGTTACGAGTTTCTTATATATGCGTTAATCACGATGTGACCTAACGTTCCATCACATTCAGGCCGTGACGAGCGCGGCTTTCGGGATCAAGAAGCTCGCCGGCTACACGCCGCCGCCTCCGAGGGCTCGACGAAAAAGCAATTTCGATGCTCCCGATGATCGCCGTACCGTACAAAACTGGTCACGGAGCATCCCACATCGCGTGAGCGCGAATCGCTAACCGCCGAGAGGCAATATGAAGAGGCATTTCCGAGGGTATCGATCAAATAAGTTACTAGATCATGCGCCCGTCCACTCGTCTTAATATTCCATCATCGTTGCGTTCTACATATTATTATAGTTTCGTGTGTGGTGCGCACGTGATCGAGAAACGCGAAGAAACGCTCTATCTCGTTCGCGTTGACGTGATATCGATAATATGGAACGAACGATAAGTGGTGCTTGTCACAAGGTGTGACGCGGATCGCTTGAGAGAAAGAGGCGACATCGAAAGTTCAGTCGCGAGAATTGAAGTTACTTATCGCGCCAATCAAAAAAGATAAGTAACAAAACAGAGGTTACTCTTCCATGTATATACGTGTGACGCAGTTTCATTAATTATAGCTCGTATCTTTTGCGACATATCCCGCGATTCAGAACTTGATCCCTTCGTGTTTACTAGGAACGGAGAGAGTTAACGAAGCGTGATCGTGTGAATCCATGCATGGATCCATCGTTCCGCACGTTTAGTAAATTACCGATACGTTCTACCTATCGCTAAGATAAAATTCGGGGGCGCTCTTCGCACTTGCGAATATTCGTGCGCATCCACGAGAACTTGTTGCGGAACTCAATCGGCCTTGGTGCTGCAGATCGGCTACGTCTTCTCATACCCCGTGAAATCCCGCGTGAAATTTTCGCCACGTGCGTTTTCCTCTTCTCGATGCTGGACTGGTTAACGCTAATTAACGTCACGTGACACCGGAGTGAACGCGCTCATCCGCGACATACCTTTTTTCAAGGAGGCTCCTCGCTTCGTGTGCCGACCCATGAAGCTGGAAAGTAGCTGCATGCTTTTTTTTTCTCTCCGACACTTTCAACACCCCTCAGACTGGATCGCGGCTATCCCGATAAAGCTATATCGACCGGGTCCCGGAAATACGCGCCGCTAAACAGCCACCGGTGGAGGAGTCGTTATTTATCAGAGTCTCTTTCGCTGCACCTCTCCTCATATCATCATCGTTCCCGAAACATCGTTACGAGTGCTCGCGATCGCGGCTTTCCCGTTGCGTGCCGACAAGCATCTCGTTCCACCGGTTTGCATACGCGAAAAAGTCAAGCGAGGAAAATCTCCGCGTCACGATTAATAAACAGGCATCCTCTCTGAGAAGCGACTCGAGAAAAGAGATCCGCATGCAACGCTCTTCAAAACACGTTTCATAAGAACTAAAATAGTTAAATGTTGTTGCTATACAAAATGACTTTTTTCTTATTCAATAAAATAAATACGAACGTTTTCTCTTTCAAAACGCGAAAATTATAAATATTAATAATATTAGTTTTCTCCTTTTTTAATTACGCTAAACGTTGATTCTTCCGACATGTCGGCTCTCGTGACATAAATTTATCTCGAGCTGTGCAACGAGATTCCCTTCGAAAATTTATTCGACTAGAAATCTGAAAGTGAAAAACTATCGAAATACCGTTGGTAGAAAAAATTCACTCGCTATTTAAATCACACAGCTCGGTTCTACGAAACTTTCGTTTGTGGTCGAAACAAACGGCAATATCGAACAGATTCGATCTATATGAAGTCAATTTCATAATTCATTCTCGATTCGTTTGAGAATTAATATTCAATTAATGCCGACGGTATTACAGTGAAGCCCGAAACAACATTAATTAATAATTGCAATTAAATTAATTCAACCACGCGCGTATGGAATTATGAACTGATTAAGCGAACGCGGCGCTCACTTTGCAGAATCTTATCAATTAAACCACGCTGTGATTAATCACGCCGCTAAGCCGTGTCTCGTCACGTCGTTGATCGTTATCGTTGCGGGACAACTTTTCGAGGGATCTGCCGAAGTTACACGAGCGCGCATCATGCGAAATCTCGCGACGATGTAGGGACCGCGAGTACTCGGCGCGCGCGGAAGCACTGAGGAAACACTTCGGTCTTTCCTCCCGATAAATCGCCGCCGAACCGCGTTCCCTCTCGAAGGGACTGTGAAAGTCTCGCGCCTGCGCCACCCTCCGACCACGCTGTTGTCAGAAGGTACCCTGAAATTATCATCCCCGGCGCAATTAATTGACCAATTCCGTTGTGATGATACGACACGCTCCTCGCACGTTCAGTATAAAACAAGAATTTCATTACGATTTATGTGTCTTTCTCGCAACGATCATACGAAATATTAACGTGCTAATGTTAAAGTGGAATGTCATTTATGTATCGGTCTAAACGCTGTACTGAATATCCGTGTAATACATTCATATATTAATATTAATGAATAATAATGAATTAATAGCAGTAAATTAATAAATTAATTATTAATATCGTTAATCTACGTATAATGAGAACGTACGATGGAAAGTATTTCGTTAGTCTCATAACGAAGTTACCGCATACTGAAAAAATGTTTGGTTGGAAATATGGAACAAACCAAAAGATTCTGATTATATCAGAATTCCGGCTATTTTAACTAGAATTTTTGTAGATTTTTTATCAGAAAATTATCTAGTAAAATCTATTAAAATTCTAGTTGATATAACCGATATTTTAATTCGATTAAAATTTTCCGATTTGTCCATTTTCAATCAAACATTCTCTTTTCAGTACAGTTAGAGTTAATTGGAAGTTATAACTTCACTCATTGTTATTTACATTTTAGATGTATTAGATGCATTTTTAGAATTTACATATAAAAATATTATTAAACACTAATTGTAAGATCCAGCTTCAACTGTATTGCTTTTCCCTCTCTTGTTTGATTTATTCAGATATAGCGATCTTATTATTAAATACTTCATGGAGAGAAGGATTTCTTAAAATTTACCCTGAAAATATAGTAATTATGGTACAATACAATAAGTTTAAAGATTTTTTTACGCACTTCAGTAAAATTAATCATACTTATTTTATATTTTATTGTAGTTTTATTAATGAATGTGAGAGATTTACATAAAAATTCTTCGAAATATAATGTTGTCCCACGATTAGGACTATATTTTCAGGGTAAATTTTAAGATATATATAAATATAACTTTCCGTGTTGTGTTAACAATAAATAAAGATTGTCCAGAGAATGACGTTTTTATGCGTATATACATATAGTAATATGCAAAAAGTGAAAGAAACAATTGCTGGATCTATTTCGTGACCGATCCATGGAATATGATTCTTAATTACAATTGATTGTAACGAATGTAACGTGCACGCGTCGCGCCTGGCATTCGCTCATCGCGCAATGCACCTCTCATGTGGTTAATAGCGACGGCAAGTAATTTGAGTAATGGGCCAATGATTACGGCAGCATTAAAGATCGCGCAGTTAACATCCGCGTACGACCGTTACCGTACCGTTAACTTAACATACAAAATCGCCGCTTTGCAGCTGTAAGCGAGCGCGTATTGTTGCGTGTCACTATTAATCTCATCGATAAATTCCTCTCGAAGAGGCGCGAGAAGGACGAAAAGATATGACAGATCGCCGTTAAGGGTCTCGGATTAGATCTTTAATCAAATAAAGATCCATCGATCCATCATGAAATCCTTCCCGAGGACGCAAAGGAATCAATTCCTACGATCGCGCGCGCTGGATTATTATCTTTAAGTGACTCCTAGGTGAGCTGACTCTTAATCGGCATTCACTCCACGAGTTCTCCGTTGGAGAACGAAAACGCGCGGCCGGCGACCGCTGGAAGGTGCAGTGACTCGGAATGCAGTCAGCTTCGACCGGGTTCGGAATCACGTGCATGAAAACGCGCGCGACCTGTGCATTCTCGGTGTGTTGCGTTTCCGTCGCTAAGAAATTATCGTGTTGTTAAATCGATTCGATCTGCTGCACTCGAATATGATGCTTATTTACGATCGCTCGATGTCGCACGACAATTTCGCCGACTATGCAACGCGCGATGCACCGTTGCTTAACGGCATCGTGAGTGCCGGCCGCGGTACAAAAAATTTCAATCTCTGCAAAATGCGCGTTCCGTACGGCACCGACTCACGTCGAGCCTCGGTGTCGATCGTTTCTCATTCCGCCAAGATGTAAGGTCGGAATCAGACTATATACATTGAAGATTGAGATTAAAGACTAAAGATTAAAATTTCACCAATGAGGACAAAGACATTTTGAGTCCTTTTGTTTTTTGATTGGTCAAACTTCAATCTTTTAATCTTCAATCTCATTCTTCAATGCGTAGTCTGATTCCGGCCTTAGAAGGATCTCATAAAGCTGGAATCACACTACGCATTGAAGATTAAAATATGAGATTTGACCAATGAGAATAAAGGAATTTTAGCTTCTATTATTTTGATTGGCCAAATTTCAATCCTTCAATCTTCAGTCTCAATCTTTAATATATAGTCTGATTCTGGCCTAAGGAAATGTCGTTCACAAAATTGACACGAAAAGAAAAAGTCGCACCCCAGGTAGAACACGGAATCACATCATAGGACGTCATTATATGACTTCGAGTGAACATCAAAGTAAACTTATCAAGTGACAATTAAGGTTATGATGAGATTTTTACGATGTTATTATGACTTCTATGTTTTACCTGGGGGAAACGTTCGAGGTCTATCGTTTTTAATTTAAGAACTCAACAAATAGTATCTAACAATAAGGTATACTGATCATAACGGCCGAAGTTGGATTTTTAATGCTTTAAATAATGCAATGTGAATTATGTATATATGTATACTTGTGGCGTCGAGTGGCTCACCGCTCGGTGCGATTAATTCGCGATTTGTAGAACCCGAGTTCAATCCCACGTGCGCCGAAACGCGATTTTTCGCGTTTAATGAGCCAAAAAATGGCTCCACCTGGTGATCAAAAGATCTATGATCATCAGCGCCGTTCGGATTCGGCGTTAAATTGTAGGTCCTATACATCAGTATATACATCAGTATATATCAATAGATATATGTCTCTAATATCTGACTGAGGTAGGATTCTGTGGATCAATCACCCACAAATCTGAAAACAATTTGATTCGAGAAACGAATATAGGCCTCGGACAAAAGTGGAAGAGGCCTGTAGACGTCCTATGCTTCACATGAGGAGATAAAAGAAGTCATCATCATCATGTATGTATATTTGCATATGTACTATATTTGTAATTATTTGAATTGCGCGCCGAAAATGTTTCCAGACTTAAAACACAGCTGAACTACTGAAATAATTTCACAATAAAAAATGTTTTGATGCGCAGTTTTTAATTTGAAATCTGCACACGGAACGCTAAATACAGATCTTAAAATAATTTTGTGTTGAACTATCAAAATATGTAGGACACTAAAATTGATTACTAGAATGCGTCAAAACGTTTTGTAGTATTACTTTGATCATGCTTGAACGGCCTACATTATCATTTTAATAGTCTAATAAAATTATTTTTAAATCTGTATCAGGCAAAATGTTTAAATACTTTCGAAAAATCGTTTTGAGAGAAATGTGGGTATCGGATATGTTCTTTACATTTAAATTGCTTTCTTAATTGCGCGCGTCGTATGAAATTCAGCGTGTGTTCCCTTGGCCGGATTTCTCGCTTTTACTCGAGCGATGCAAAAGGTAAATGGATGTGGAACAGAACGGCAGGCGGTAGCTCCGCTCGTCGTCGTTGTCGCCGCTGTCCCGTCATCGTCTCGCTTCCTTTTCTCTCGGTTTTATTTGCTCCTCGGGACAACATCTGTCTTATGCCTCGGCCTGCACCGCCGCGTTACGCTGCTACAGGCCGTACATAACGCCGCCCGACGACGCTGACTTTATGGTGCAAGGTGCATTGCCAGTGAAAGAAAGAGGGAAAGGAAGAAATAGAGAAATAAGGAAGGAGAAAAAGAGAAAGAGAAAGAGCTTCGGAGAATCATCTGGAGAAAAAGGACTTGAAGGCGACCGGAAAATACCGGGTGTCCGAGGAGGCTGCGACTTGCTATCCGACTCTCTCTCTCTCTCTCCGTAAAGAAATTCCAGATGAATGAAAAACTGGAATGACTACATAATGTATAGGATTTATAATTTTGTACTTGAATATTGCGCAACTTGAAAAATCAAGTAGTACAGAACGTGTACAGAAAAAACGATTTTTTGCTGAAAACTTAAAAATTTTAGTTAAATACTGATCTAAAAATAATTTTGAATTA